CGAGGTAGGTTTGAGGGTGGTGAAGGGGTGGTGTTTGTGAGGGGGGTGTGAAGCCCGATGGCAGCCTGCACTGGGTGTTTCTCCCTGCAGGCAGGCAGAGACAACAGTGGTCTATCCCGCTGACGTCGTGCTCTTTGAGGGGATCCTGGTGTTCTACAATCAAGACATTCGGGACATGTTTCACCTGCGGCTCTTTGTTGACACGGATTCGGATGTCCGGCTGTCCCGCAGGGGTAATGATCTGCCAGCACAGGCAGCAGTACCTTATGTCCCTTATCCATGGTGGTGAGAGTGATGGTTTTACCTTTCCACCCCAGTTCTGCGCGATATGAAACGTGGGAGGGACCTGGAGCAGATCCTCACTCAGTACACCACCTTTGTCAAGCCTGCCTTTGAGGAGTTCTGCTTACCGGTACTGAGTGCTTCACTCCTTTGATGTGTGGGGGTTCTGGGGAGGGGACAGAAGGAGCAGGGTCAGTTGGGGATGAGCTGCGCTGTACGTGCAGCAGTGGTGGCTGTTGGTGTTCATACTTCACCCGTCTCACGCTCTCCCCTCTGCCTCATCTCTTTGACCATTACAAGCTGCTTGGTTAAGGAGCTGAAGTGGTTGGTCCATTCTGCTTGCAAAGCACCACGGGAATCCCAGGAGGCAATTTTAGCACATGGGTCCCTCTGACTGAAACACTCCTACTCTGCATTCATTCTTTAGTCTTGCAGGAAGAAAGAGGAACTTGGTTTCCTACAGGCTCTCTCTCAACAGGGAACACTGGTGAATACCTGGGGCAGACCCTTACAGCATCTGCTTGCTATATGCCATATAATGTGGGGCCAGTTTGGGTGCTCACATAATCAAATTAATTTGTAACAAAGCCTTTTGAGAACAAAATCCTGTTTGTGAATTAAATAAGATGGAAAAGGCAGCTCGTGATGGAAATCAGGCAGCTCTTGCTCTGGATCAAAGTGATTCTGGGACTGTAAAAGCACTCATTAGGAATGCTGCGTTTGCCAGCGTGTTTAAGAGTGTTGGTGGAGATCAATAAAATGTCATCAGAAGCAGGAAAGAATTTCACATACATGTTGCATACCTGGGTGCTTGGTAGAGATTTAGCAGTGCCTTGTGAAACGCTGATGAGAACCAGCTCTTAGCAAACAGACCTTGGCCTCAAAGCGGATGACCTGTTTGAAGGCAGCATAGTCTTCAGGAGTGTACAAGCAAGTACTCCAGGCTTGAGCTGCTGCTGCTCCCTGCTGCTTCACTGCAGAGGGACAGTAAGAACAATCCCTGATCTTAAATCCAGAATGACTTCTCAATTCATTCAGGTGTTTACCATGACCAATAGCATTAACTTGCAGTCCCAGAGCATGAAACACCCCCCCCCATCGTTGCCCCCAGCTTTCTGGTATTGGGTAGCAGGTTCTTCCTAGACTAAACCTGACTTTTTCCCATTAAAAGTCTCTGTTTGTGTTTTGCAGACAAAGAAGTATGCAGATGTGATCATCCCCCGAGGAGTGGACAACATGGGTAAAAGGGAGTTGGGTTCTCTGATTTCTTTGGGGTTGGGAGGAGAGCTGCCTTGTTTGCAGGCTTCTAAGGAAAGGTGTTTTGCTGGAGGGCTGTAGGACAGGGAGCTGCTTGAGCCCTCTGCTGAGGGCTGGAAAAAGCAATGTGCTGTCAGATGCAGAGCAGGGCACCAGTGTTAAAACTGGTCTTGCAGTTGGTTGTTTCTGTTGAGGTCTGACTTGCTGCAGAGGGCTGATAGTGTTTTATTTAAGGGCTTGCTAAAACTTGAGTTGAACAGGGCTGGATGCTCCACATTTTCTAGATAGCTCAGCCAAGAAAGCCTACGTGTGCTGTTTCCCATTCCTCTCTGCAGTTGCTATAAACCTCATAGTGCAGCACATTCAAGACATCCTCAATGGAGACATCTGCAAGTGGCAGCGAGGGGCGATGAACGGACATGGTCGGACCTACAAGCGCCCATTCCCAGAGCAAACAGAGAGCAGCAGTGTGCTCGCGGCCGGGAAGCGCTCCCACCTGGAATCCAGCAGCCGGCCACACTAACCCCTCAGTGTCTGAAGGGTTTGCCAGACCAATGATGAAGACAACTTTGGGAAAGGACTTTAACAGAATGGTTGGTGAAGTGCCCTTTAAATCATCCTAGCAGTGGCGGGGATACTGGTGTGAAAGGCGTCACAGAGGGGAGACGAAAGGGATGGCCTGCAGCCTCTCTCCCCTCCAAAACCTCTCCCTTTTCTCCCCGCCATGCCTGGATCACTGATGTTACTTGATGACCTGCTTGGAGGGCAGTGCCATTGCCTTTTGTGAGTTTTCAAAATGAGATCTAATGCTGAAGGCTCCCCTGAAAATTACGTGCTACTGGGGGTTAGCAAGAGACCCCATTTCCCTAATGGTGATCCTCTGTAGAGGAGAATTATCTGTCTTGTCTGCCTGGCTTGCTCAAAAGCAGCCTCTTGGCCAAGACTAGCTCACACCCTGTTAATTTTTAACAAGCAGGTGTAGGCCTTCACTTCTCCACCTTGTTGGCACCTTGGGTTGTGGCATTGCTTTCCTGCTGGCCAGCTTCCCTTTTACCCTGTGGGGATGGAAGGATAGATCTATAGAGGAATCTCTCCCCTGAGATAGAGATGAAACAGGGGCTGTCTGGGACAAATGGGAACTTGCAATTCATCAAGTGGACAGGCCCAAGCTGGGTGATTCTGGTTCCTAATTTATTCCTTTCTAAGCTCCCAAACTTTGCTACACTGTATGATTGTTTTTTGTACCCAAATAGTTGTCTTTACCACAGTTACTGAATGTGTGAGCTCCAGCTGGATTGAGTTGCTCATGGAAACAGAGACCTGACCTTGTCAGTATTAGTGTCTTTTAGGGCATTTGTGTACTGCTGGTTGCAGATTCTGCTGGGTGGAATCCATCAGCTTCTGGAGCTGGGTAGTAGGATCAGCAAGGGGGAAAGCATTTGCAGGAGCCTCCTTCTGATGGCATAAAGAGCTGCCTGGACATGCTTTTACCCTCCAGCAGGGTCAAAGCCTTTCCCTTGCACTCAGTTTAAACTCCAGAATGTCTGGTTTGCTAAACAGAGCAGACAAGAGGCTGGAAGTAAACAGTGACATCCCAGTTCCTGTTGTTTACCCCAGATAAGTGACCCTGCAGCAACATGAAATGAAGCATAAGCTGGGCCTTGGAAAGTGTCCTTGTGATACCCTTCTTGAGTCTGGACTTACAGTGTCATTTTAAGGAGGAGTAAGGGGGTAGGGAGATTATTAAGAGGACCTTTTTCATATTGGCTAGTTTTCTAAACCCAGGGTCTGTCTGTGTTGGATGGGGGTGTGTGACTTGGCCTGATGAGCAGATGAATAGTGATGGGAAATGACCATTTTATATTAAAGGTATCTGTGCTTCTTGCACTACAGTAGCACAAAGGTACAGAAAGGGACCCGTCTGGAGATGCTCTTAAACTCAGCAGTTCTCTTTCCCCTTAAGCCAGAATTGTTCGTGTTAGTTCTGTAATGGCTGAAGCTTTGGAGGAAAATAGAGCAAAAAGTGCAGTCTGTACTTTCATCCCTTACAGTCTTTACAACACTGGAAATCAGTAAAGGTCTGTTGTCTGTTTGTGATCCCCACAGCTCAGAGGTACACTTCTGTAATGCTGAGGAGAAAGCTCTTCTCCTAACTGCTGCTGGGTGCTGTTTAGCTCAGGGTGACAGACTTAGAGTATGAGCTACTGCACTGAAGCATTAGCTATCAGGGCTGACTGAAGTAGGAGCAAAACAGTCACTAAAACCTACTCTGAATGACTGTGGTGTTTGATCATACCTTCCTCTGGAGCTGGGGGAGCTCAAAGCAGCCTTGAATAGCATTTGTTAGAGCAGTGAGGAATGCTATAAAGAGCATCCTGGTCAGGCTAGGAGTGCTGTTCTTGGTCAGCTCTAAGCTCTACTGTCAGATCCTGCTGTTGCAGCCACATGAAGAGAATGAATCGGATGTGGTGTAGGTACTATAACCCTTTTTGAATACCTGTACAGACCTATTACAATGTCCCCACTGAGCAATCCTGGTACTTCACGTGCACATCCTATTCTGTATTCCTCTGCTGGTGCAGGCCAGGGCATGGGCTGAGTTAAAATGGGTTTACCCTGAACTCGTGTACAAGTTAGAGCAGGTTTCCTTGTCAGCGTGATCAGTTCTCCCTTGAGTTCCTCTTCCTATGAGATTGAGATGTAAACCTGCAGCCCAGTAACTATGATCCTGCCAGTGATAGTAATGGGCCACAGGCTTCATGTGAATGCCACAAGGCCAAAGGATTCTTCTGGTTTTGGCTGACTTCCTGGCCTGCCTGAAGCTTTGTTTTAGCTTGTTTAGCTGTAACAGCAATTTTTGTAATGTCTGTTTGTTTTAGTTTTGCTTAGTTTCATAAAAAATTATGGTTATGCCAAATGATTATATATAGATAATAGTACCAAGTCATTACTCTCTGCAGAATGAACTATTTATAAACTTGGCTTAGTGCTGTAATGTAATGAAATAGGGATGATAGCAGAGCATTGGAAGTGGGGTCAAAGAATGCATTGTTGAGGAATACCGTCATGGGATGATGCTGGAGGCTGCAGGGCCAACTACTGAGGGTTAAAAGCATGTAAGCTTTAGAGCTGGAAAACCCCTGTTTTTAGGAATAAAAAGAAAATGGAGGAAAGTATCTGATATGTTGGAGAGTAGAAGCCATTTATAATAACTGGTAACATGGAATTACAAAGCAAGGTGCTAGGAAACATGTAAAATAGCCTTAAGTGCAGTGTAGTGCAAGAAGGGAGGACCCATCACCATCACACTCCCAGGATAAGAAGAAACCCTTGCAGTGCACTCTTCCCTGCAACGTAGCTCGGATGCTGTTGACTGAATTCAGCAACCCTGAGGAGCAGTGGAAGGGTGAACGTAATGGGGGCAGAAACTGGGAATTGTGCTCATAACAACTATATTACTGTTGAGACTTTTCTGTAACAGTGTTCTTTTATTTTCTTTTCCTGTAATAATTAGAGCTGGACTACTGTCAATTATTTGACCAGTCTGTTAAGGTTTCAGTTACACTGACAATAAATTCTTGGCTTTGCATAAAAGGTGTTTCTTTTTGCCTGTAATGAGATGGTAATTGTCACTGTTTTCGGATCAGGATGTTCCAGCTGTCCTTCCAGCGCAAGTCCTTTAGTTCAGTAACAGACAGGGAGGGCTCCCCATAGGTCACGGGGCTGAATGTGCAATAGACAAAGTAAACTGAAGAGAACCAGGCTACGATCAATGCAGTGAACATGCTCTTGAGAAGCACAGATCTGGCATGAGAGAGGAGGGGAGAAAAGCAGTTACACCAAGGCTGGTCAAACATTTCATCCAAAAGGAAGATTTCATATGGCCTGTCTTCTTCAAATGCAGTATGGCCACTGCTGGAAAAAAGCCCTGCTTTCTCTGCAGCAGCCGGCCAAGCTGCCAACCTGGGAGAAGAGAACAGTGCCTCTTGTTCACCTATCCATTAAAACCAAATACCTGCAGAGATGATCACTGATGTGCTGTAATACGATGGGAATCAGGAGAATTTGGAATGTGAGGGCAGGCAGGTAGTGGTACAGGAAAAGTGTTTTCTCCATCCCAAAGAAGGGCAAGTAATTCACAGCCCAGCCTCCAACACAGATCCCCCCAGCTGATACCCAGAGCTGCCATGCATCTGCAGGATAAAGGAGATAAAGCATAGTCCATGGAAACATAAAGTCTCTAAGAGGTTGATTGTTGTCTTGGTTTGTTGTTTTCCTCCCATTCTCTATCATTTGTGCTGATACAACCTTTAACTTAACCACATTCAGCTGAGGGAAATGATTATGTTTTGTCACCAAGATTATAAGTACCCATCAAGACAGATTAGTGCCCACAGGGAGCAGCTTCACAGCATGACAACAAAACATGCTGTTGGAAAGATGAGTATTAAACTGCATGGCCATATAGAGATGGTAGCTCAGCAGGAACAAACACATCTAGAACAAACCCCTCCCCGCATAGCCAGTATCTATCTATCTTACATCATCATGAAGGGGCCCAGCAGTATCCAAAGCAAAGGCCTGGATGTTTCCTACATCCAGGGAGTGACTCAAATACTGTGATGCCTACTACATTGTCTTACAAGGTCATCATGTGACAACCATAATCAGTCTCCTCATGTGCTATGCTAGTTGTCTCTGTATTCCTAGGGAAGAGTGCTGGGATAGCCAAGCACATGGCTGTAAATGGTTTTGGGGGCCATTAGAGTGTAGCAGAACAAGCAGCAATCCTCCCTCCCTGCCCAACCTTGACACATACATACACAATGGAATCAGACCTTCAGGAATGTCGTAGATCTTTCTCCTGCGTCGTATCAAGTACCACAGAGACAGACACATGTAGACCAGAGCAGCAACATTACCTGAAGCCCAGGTGACAACATTCCCAAGGAGGTGGATCTGGGCCTGAAGGATAGAAGCCAGAAGTAGGAACATTCTGCAGTTCTTTTAGATAACTTTAAATATTACCTACATCTATTTGCTAAATTAAATGTCAGGATGTGCATGGCTAGGAACCTGATCTTTCCTGGAACAAAGCTGGCTGATAAACTTCACTGCTTTCAGACTCTTTTGTAACGTAAGGCATTTAAAAGATGCTATTGGAAATGAACTCATCTCCTAAATGGAATCAATAATGGAAACTATTAAACTGCAGTTTTCCTTTACCAAAAACAAGACAACATGATTTAATTAAAAGCAACTACTGTCAAAGCTGGATCTCATGCCAAAACCAACCCCAACCCTCAGGGAAAATATATTCTTAATACAGGACAAGTTAATCCTGGCACAACTCCTTGGCTGGAACTGCAGCCCTGCTCCCACTCACACTCCCAGAGCTCACACCTGAACCCAAGGCTGATTTCTTCACCAGGCTCTTATTTACTCATTTACTTCTACCTCTCATACTTACACTAGAAGTTGGGTGGAGCCAGTAGGCAATATTTGTGTCCATTGTGATCCAGTCAAGAGCAGAGGAACTGTACTTATGCTCTGTTTCTTCATTTTTTAATGTCAGTATTTTCCACTAGGAAAAAAAGCAAACAGAAGGGTTTTAGAATTACAACGAGTGGGATGGCAGGCATGGGTAAACAGCTCCAGATGTAAGATACTAAGTTCCTAACCTGGGAGTGGGATTTTGCATCTCTCATACTGGATACTAACCAAAACAGGGGGGTTATTTTGTTTTTATATAATACACTTCTACAGTGTTAGTAAGGGCATCCAACACAACTGACTGCATATACAGCACATTACAGTTCAGTTTCAGACAGCTTCTGGGTACCCAACTGCCCTTCCTCCCCCTTCTTTTTTTTACACAATCACTTGGGTATTCCTTACTGAATAGCATAAATCTCTAATGCCCTTCTAAGTGCAGTCTGAAATATTTTTTTCCAGTTAGGAAGCCAAACTACTCTATCAGCAAGGAATAAACAATGAATCCTCAGGCTCAGAGCCTGCAGAAATGCTCAGGTTCCTGCCCTGCAGCAGAAGGCAAGATGAAGGGAATAACAAGGCACTCACCTGCAATTCCGTGAACTTCGCCATGAAGCTGAGGTTTTTACTTATGTCCATCTGTGTGGGAGAGTGGAGTTCCACCTCCCTCTCTTTTTGCTCTAGACCTGGAAGAAAACAGCATTAGAAAGAAAGAAAAGCTATAAAGATGAAAGACAGAAAGCTATAAAGGGGAGCAAGTACACAGGATATACCCCTGCCTCCTCACACTCCCTGCAGCCTGTCTCCAATACATAGTCCAAATGCAGGAGACCTCTAAGGGGATCTTGACACCATGATAGAGCCAGAGCTCTATCACACGATACCACCTTCCCATACACATGAAGCATCCCTCACTCACAGAGATCTGCTTCGAGAACATGGCTCAGACATACTTTTCCCATATCTGTGCTCTTCCACATTCCACACCATGCTCTGGTGGTAGCCTTTGGATAGCTTCTCGCCAACCACCTCCAGCTGCCGGTATCCCCAGTCAGGTAAAGATGCTCCACTGAGCTGAAAGAAGACTAAATTTATAGCTCTGCCAAACATGCTGAGGAAGTTTATTGTTTCCTTTTATTCACTTGTTTGTTTTAGTGGTTTGGGCATTTTGGAGCAGAGAGATGAGTAGTTTATGAGATTACAAGAACTTCATGGAGCAGACAAACACAAATCCACCTGCCTTTAGCACTGCAGAGGTGTTCACGTGAACAAACCTCACTTCTGACAGAATTGTCTTCCACACGTCTGTGTCAGACTCCCGATTTACAATTTCCTGCAACAGAAAGATGTCTTTTGGTTGTCGTCTTGTATCAGCTACTTCTGCTGCAACACGATGAGCTCCTCCCTTCCCTTTGACCACTCACCACTCTCCAGAGGTTCTGTGCTGGCATGGAGATGTTATAATCAATATAGCAGGAAACTTCTTGGGAGTGGGGGCTAAGAGGGGCAGCAACATCATGCCTAGAGGACAAGCAAAGCACGATCCTCGAACACCATTTCCCAAATTCATATAGAAAGCAAACTCATAAAGGTATTGAACTGGTTTAGACCAGACTCAGTAATAAAGCAAAAAGTAACACATTTACACAGATTGTACTGTTTTCTCTGAAGGAGAACCCTCCCCACTACCAAGAGCTGCCAGGAACAGGCCCAGAGGAAGCCAATATAGATGCTTGCTATGCCAGGCTGAAAAACAAGCACTGATTGTGGCAAACAGAGACGCTGTTCACTGAGGTTTCCAGTAATGAACAAATTAAGTTTGGAAGGGACTTCATAAAAACCCAAGCTCAGAACACAACCCCCTTCCTAATCTGAAATTCAAGTATAGGCAGGCGCCCTTCAGGAAGCAGTCAGGAGGCAAATTCATACTGCAGTCTTTACAAAACAGGCAAGAAGCCATGGCAATCAGCCACAGCACACCGGATCCTCCAACACATCTTCCTCACTTCCAGAGCACATCAGTCACACAAGAGGCTCCTCCATCAAAGTGAGTGGAGTTGACTTTGGGTTAACAGTCACACACAATACTAAATATCTGCACCTGCTTGGAGTAGAGGCAGTGAAGGGGCAGGGATGAAGACTCAGCAAGGGGCCTGTGTATTCAGGAATTTGCAGAACCACCATGAAATGTGAACATGGCTGAAACCACCAATACTCCCTCTAAGGCTATTAGTAGAGCAGACCAGAAGCAGCTAGCAGCCACTGAACAGTTTGTGACTGGGATTAAATCTCACTGCCAAGTTAACTGCAAAAATAAATAAGCATACAGCATCCTTTCTGAGAGTTATAGGGATGGCTTATGCAGCTAACCCTCTTATCCTCTCTCTATATATAATGTGTGTGTATATATATATATATGTAAAATGCATATATAATCCACAAATAACAGGTACTTTATATATACCTGAATGGAAGGGTGTTTCAAGCCCTGAACAGTTAATCTGAGAGACAAGCAGCAGAATTAGCCAGCAGACTCAGCAGAGGGTGAGGGAAGGACTTACGTGTTGAGGTACCGAGTTGTGATGCCGTGGACCAGCTGCACGATGTGCCCGTGCCTGACGGGACGGGGTGGGTTACTCACCACCAGCTGCTGCCTGTGTGGAGTGACACCCAAGAGGAAGTGGTTACATTCTTCCTTAGACATAAGGCAACCTTGTCATGACCAAACTGCTAGGTCAAGAAGATGCAGGCAGGGAGAGATGTTTGGGCAGCTAAGATGAGAATTTAAAGCAATCTACAGATGGAACCAAAGCTCATCAAGGCAAGGGTGAGTTAAGAGCAGAATACCTCAGGATCAGTAATGGGATACCAACACCCCAGCCATTAGGTCAGTGGTCTGAACATGGGTCAGTCAGAAGCAAGTTCAGATTATTCCCACTAAACAGCTGTTTGGTGGCTTCTGTGAAATGAGTAAGTGCTTCAGTGAGGTCTGACAGGTTTGTGCTACAACTGATGTCACTTTTGGCAGAACTGTAAGAGAGATTAACGACTATCTCCGCCATGAAGACCAAACTCTTTTTGCTTCTGGGGAGGTCTAAAGCTTCCTTTGGCAAGTGGGAATGCTAACTGCTGCCTGTATTTTACTGTATTCTGTTCTACAGAAGGAATCCACATCCTCCAGGGCTTGTAAGAGTCTTGAGTTTGAAGAATTTTAAGATGTACTGTGTTTCTGTGGTTTTGGTAAGAGCTCCTGCTCGAAAGGTTTGCACTATGGACAACTTTCCCAGTGTGGCTATAATAGCTCACAGTCCTTCTGATAGGACTCTTTATAGTTTCCAGAGCAACATAAAAAAACATCAAAAGCAACTTTTTAATCAGTATGAAATGATATCACACAAGGGCTTTTATTGGCAAAGAGTCCTGCTCTTCACTGACAGTTCTAATGGCAAAACACTTCAGCACAAACCAAGCCTCTTAGGCACAGGCACCCACTTGGAATCCCTCCCAACATGACAGATTCTACAGCTCATCCCACACTTTAAATACAAAGAAATACTCATTCTGCAAAAGTGATTTCTACTCTCTTCTGAGACTCATTCAAGTTTAATAAAACTCATCAAGGCACTCTAATGTCTGGCTCACACACTTCAAAAGGCAGAACTTCCCTTTCATGCAAAGCACCTGAAGAGTTCCCACTGGTCTTGTGAGTCTTTAAAGTTCCCCTTGTGCAAAGCACAGCCCATGTTCTGGCAGAAGCAGTTCAGACAGAATTTCAGAGTCCTCAATAACGCCTTTAGCATACTGAGGAGGAGTGTGCAAAGAGCCTCACTTACCAACTCTGCAGCTGAAATCACTTGTTTAGGATCACACATGGCTTCATAGAATAGTTATGTCCAATCCAAGCTATGCCCTCATTAGGTTTTGGAAGCACAGAGAAGCTATGATGACAGCAGTTTGGCATTTAAATCTTTTGCATACTCACATTCCAGGATCTTTGACGATCCACCAGTTGTTCACATCCTTGAAGGGATAGCAGGTCACCTGCTGTTGATGGGAACTACCTCGGCCATTCTCATACCTGTACAGAAGGTTAAAACACCCCACAGACGTGTTACGGAACATTTCTGTGCTCAAGAGAGTCACAGCAATACAAACCAGCACCAGATCACTGGCTCCACTCCTACAGAGCACAGACAGCCTGTGCATCTGCAGTGTGCTCTGAAGGATTAATGAAGAGATCGCTAGGCCCCAAACTGAGACAGTTGGACTGGCATGTGAAAAATCATAACTTCCACCCTAATACAGACTCAACCTGATTCCTCACCTGATGGGATAGGTATTTGTGTGAGAATGGAGCCAACACTGCATGGGCTTGCCCAACACGTTCCGCAGAGTAATCTGAGAGCCGTAGGCCACCTCTAAGGGCTGACCCTGAGTGATTCGAGCCAGCCCACCCTGGGAAATATAATGACAGGGTAAGTGGAAAGAAGAAACAACCCAAAGGCTGTTTAAATTCTATAGAGAGTCACCTGTCACTTCAACATAGCAGTATCTTAGCACAATGCTTTCTCATTTGGCTGTATCTATAAAAAAACAAGCCCTGCAGCACCATACTCAGCAGACAGTAAATACACCCATGCCTGAAAGACTACATAGTCTTAGGGAATATCCCTAAAGCCATGCTGTTCTAAAAGCAGGCTAAGCACTCTACTACAGAAAATCATACTATCATCCTGTAGTATACATCATCACTCAAGAGTTCAGCACTGTATCTACTGCTGTGGAGCTTCCTACAGCAGGGGACAAATCTTTAGCAGAAGAGTTAATATACTGTTTGTGGTTCACTGTGAAAAAGCTTTTCATCTGTTATTAGGATTTCAGTCATTATTGCTTTATCTACAGTAGCAAAGTAGTTAAATGACATAAAAGGAACAACTACACAGGTCAAAGGAACAAGACTGCACACCTTCTAATAGTGAACGTAAGATAGATTTCCCCTCTTCTCCCCTAATGCACGAGTTTCATGACCACGTTTTCTTTACCTCCAAGCTGGCTTGGAAAGCACTTGTCATAATCTGGTCGTGAGGCCCAGAGCGATACAGCAAAGTCAAGTGAACATAGAAGAAGGACACATACATTGCCACTGGGATGATAATGAGGACCAGCCCCCTAGCTAGAAAATGGCACATCAAGGAAACCTAGAACAACACAGAGAACTCATTGGTTTCATGCTCCAGATATGAAATACCAGTGCACTTTGCTTGTTTAAGTTCCCCCAACCACCCTTACTCAGCTATAACTTCTTGGACAGCTTGGTAACTTCCACCAAGGACCTGAACTGGAGCTAGCAGGACACATGTGAAACATCACAGCTGCTGAGCCACAGATCACCAAGACATGGGTAAGAGCAGAAAAGCCAGTCACACTCATGTTTTTCTTACACTTCACTCCATCTTCCCCAGAAACTGAGCTGGGAAACTGTTCTATGATGAGGGTTTGCAGACTATGGCAAGGAATGTCAGTACAAAACCCAGCTACACACAGAACTGTTTTCTGCGGGTTTGCAAGGCTCCTGGCTGGCTCCTGGCCTGAAAAGTTACACATAATACATTCTGCATACTGCACTACCTACATTTGACAAGTTCTGGTCTCCTATCACATGCCAGAAGTGGAGTCCTGCGATGGTCAACAGCAGTATATAGGTAAAGAGGCCCATATATTTCACTCTGACAAGTAAGTGCATAAAAAAAGAACACAGTTAATAATTACCTAATACAAGATATAAACATTCAAACTTTCTCTTGAGCAAGATGCATTAAAGTCCAAGGACTTAGATCCATGACAAGTTTCATACAACATAAATAAGCCTCAAGCTTTTGACAGCAGAAAATATAATCTGTTTGCAAATTACATTAAATAACCACAGTGACAGAGAACCTTCTTGATGACAAGGTGGCAAATCACAAAGCACCGATCCCCTAAATCCAGACTTGAAGCAACTAGGAGGGAGAGGTAAAATGAAGATGCTGATTTATAACACAAAACCATCTCTGAGAAATATGTTTTGTTCTTCCCAGGACAGTACCCTCTAACGCCTGGTATTGCCCACTGTGAATTGATGAACTGACATCCTCACTATAGAAACAAGCTAACTAATTGAAAAGTCATGGAGATCTCTGCCCAGAATGGCATCAAGAATCAGTCTTCAAAACCTAAAGGCTCACTGATACCTCTGATGGCAGACAGAACAGTCAGCTTTCTAAAACAAAGTATATGTCATCACTTACCCAACTGCACAAGAACAAGCTACTCCAGTCAACAGGAGCCAAAACCACCAGCTTCCAGAGAAGGAACTTAAATAAAAGGACAAAGAAAAGGATGTTATGGTGAGACCTGGTCACCTTCTTAGGATCTTTAGAATTTAGGTAATTTAACTTGAAAACAACCCTGCAAGACTCCACTATTCTTTATTCTACTCCTTATTCTCATTCTGAACCTCCCATGCCACCAGCTCTCAGCCCTGACCTACAGTGTGTTCTTAAATGTATTTCTCTGTATCCTAAGAAGAGGGACTGAACGCTACCTGCCTCTGATACTACAGATAAAAGAAATGGACTACATCACTTGCTGGGCTCAGTTTAAAGATAATTTCACTTTACTGAAGATTACTTTATCCTCTGCAAGGATCAAAGAACACGTGAAGTTACAAGAAGAGAGACAAGGATCTCTATACTCAGTGCCTGTAAACAGTAACAAAGGAGCATTCAGTGACCTGTTATCATCAGTGTTTCTGTGCACAGAAGGAAACCTAATAAAAAGCTGTGTGGTCAAAGGAGTACATCCAAGGGAGCTCTTTTGATTGTAAAATGCAAAAAACAACCTTGCTACTACTTAAAACAATCCCTGACATTGCTCAGAAGAAAAAGCTTCTGGGGCAGCCATATGACAGGTCAAAGCATAGGGTTCTACAGACAGATGAAGTGAGCTGCAGAATAGTGAAGTGACTTACAGAAAAACCCACACAGGTTGTACAAAAAAGATCACAAGAATATCCAAAAGGTTGGGAGGCAATCCAGCTTTACCTATGCTTTTGCAAATTGTAGAACTTCAGATAGGCCAAAACTGCAAGTAGGATAAAAAAAATCAATATTGATTCCAGGAGCATGAACCTTGACTGAGTAATCAGAGAGTTCTCTGTTGAAAAAGAGAAACAGATACAAAATTAGAGAAATTTATCTATAGGCACGTGATACCTCAGACAATCACATCATTACCCAAGAGAAGGCCCTGTTTCTTTAAGGACAGATAATTCATTTGCAATTTTACTGGCTGCAATAGGGAGGTGTTGGGTTTAAAGGGACAAAAACCTCCCAGCAGGAGCAAAGTACATAGCCATAACTGTCTCCAAGGACAAAGAGGCGAGCAAGTCATAAAGTCTGGCAAGAGGCAAATGAAGGTGCTGCACTTGCCCACAAAGGCAAAGAAAATCAATGCTGGGAAATCCAGAGAGGTGTTTCTCAAGGCAAAGAGAGTTCAGGCAGTGACCCCAGCAGGCCATGCGCATGATGACAAATCTTAAAGAAAAGGAACTGCAAGGAGCTGCTTTGTGCGGGATTCCCTGAGCCAGGATCAAAGCAGCCAGTAGCTGGGAGAGGTTTCTCTTATCAGACTGTTAAAGGGCTGTTGAGAGCCTCTTTCCCCTTCAGGCAGCTGCCAGCAGACCCTCAAAAGAAAAAAACCAAGCAACTGAGTTACACACACCAGAACAATGTCAAACCATGGTGCTAAGGACAGACTGGTTTGCTGCAGTTTGGTGATGAAGAAATTTGATAAGCTCTGACTCTAGTAGGGTTGTCCTGTATAACTCTTCCTGCAAAACTCAGAGAGTACAAGTATCCTTGGATGCAAGAAATGTGGGGGTTTTTTGTGAGGCTGTGCTCACTTCACTTAATAATGAACTTTATAAAGCTTCAGGCTCAAACAGCAGCCTGCTGCAAAGCTGTAAAGATTGAGGGGACCAGCAGAAACTGATACAGGCTGAAAGTGGGCTCTGACGTGTCGATAGCATTCTGTGGGGAGATGATGCCATTTAGGCACCCTAAAAATTCACAAGGGGAAAAGGGACCTTTCTCCCCCGTACGAAGAATGAGACCCAGGGGAGTAATCTTACCTAAGAGAATCAGAAGAGCAGCTCCAAGGGCAGCACAGTGGGAGAACTGCAGTTCTACCAGAATCTGGTATGCTAAAGGCACACAGAGAGCACCAGCTAGTGCTGGCAGGAGTCGCAAAGACCACACGGGAACGTTCAAGCTGTATTCTGAAGGAGGAGACAACAGTGATGCACCAATTTGGAAACTTAATTGCAGAGAAGACAGATCAGTGCAGAACTCCTTATGACTACAGCAAGTTGTTGAATCTAACTCCTACTCTTACTAATTTATTGTCTGTCTTGTACTGCTTAAACTGTTTTAAAAGATCTGATATGGAATTGTAGTACCTTAAACTTCTGTTAGAGACCTGCAGAAGTCTTATTTGAGAAGTGAAGGTGTCAGATAAAGCATTGTTTCCACTAGTCAAAAGGAAATCTGTCAACTGCTGAAATACTGCTTATTTTCACAGAAGAATGAGACAGTTACAATCAGCTCTTACCAGCTCCAATCCTGTTCCATAAGAAGTTGCCATCAAATCCTCCTAAGTAACCTACAACACAAGCAACAATTCAGAACTTCCAGCCTCAAAACAAGTGTAAAAAACAGTGCTAAATAGGGAACCATTTCCCATACATGTAGCTTTGCCATGCATGAAAACCCTCTTTCCCCAAAAGGTCCTCCTTTGTACTGTCATGACTACAGTAGTGCTTGATAATGTGCAGAGGCACAAAGAATATAAATAGGGAACAGCAGCTTCTCAGTGACAATGTTAAATGTGTATTTAATCTCTCCTTCCCATACAGACACTTTCATGTTGTGCACATCACAGCTTCAGAAAGGAACTCAGAAAATCTGCTTGTTGCCTACTATTTCTAGTCATTAGCAGTTCTCATTTACCTTCCTCTTCCTACAAAGCACTGGGTAACACAGCTCCATCACCTCCCCACTACTCATGCAACAGCCCCCTAATGATACTAAATAAGGGAAATCCTAATTCTTTCTACACCAGAATCTCTCATCTGCCTTGTGCTTTTCCCCAGTAATGGGGGATCTGACAACTCATATCTAATGAGCACTTCTCCCTTCCACGCAAGAGGCAACAGCCACTTCTCAATTTCAGGAGAGCCCTACCTCCCAAGGCTAGCAGCATATGGCCAAAAGGTGGGCCGCTGTCATCCACAAAGAAGATCCTTTTCATGTAGAGCGAAACGAACTGGCCATAATAAACTTCATCAAAACTGCAACACAAGAGGCAGAAATGTATCAAATCTAACTGGAAGTATCCTGGAGGCTACAGGGATACTAAGGAAGAAAACACTGATTTGTTGGCAGGAAGCTAAGAAGTGCAGCGGCTTTGCCCCTTTCCCTTCCCCTCGGGAGTTTGTATGAGGGAAGCACAATCATTGTAGTTACAGAGGCTGACATCAGGCAAGCTCTGCTCTTCCACTCCTGCAATCTTACTCACAAATGTTTAAAAAACAAAAGTCTGTGTCATTCAAGTAGAAAAGAAACTATTCTACTCACACTACAGCCCGTGGGTAGGAAAGCCCCCAGAGTCGGCTTATTAATCCCATCAGAGTCAGCACCATGACATTCATATTTATCTCCACAGTAACAACAACCGGCTCCTTCAGAAATCCCAACATCCTGTCAAAGGTCTGTCCAAGTCTCCAGGAGTAAACAGAGAAGAGCAGCAGTCACCCTTTTGCCCAAACCTTGCTGAAGATCATACAACAGAAAGCATCCACCACTACTTTCTGCTTCTAGCAACTCATGGTAGCTGATTTTCCCAAGTGCTCTCGCTTTCCACATTTATGTGTTTTCTGCTGTACCTACAGGAGTAAAATGAAAAATGAAGATTTTATCTGCCCTACATGTATATCACGCTTCTATGTGTGTTATGGTGTCATAAATTCTAAGCTAGAAACTTTGCTTATTCTTACACTGGTTCTGCAGAAGCCTATATACCGCTCTGCGCAAAGCAAACCACCCAGCCCAAATTCTGATGCTAGTGATAGGCAAAACACGTGCTGAGGCACCAGGCTGCTCAGGTAGCTGTAAAAACAAGCAAGAAAGGTTATTTCCTTGCAAACTTGGTTTATTTCTGGAGTTGATGAGGCAGGGGGCAGAACCCACAAACATCCTCTGTGTTAAAAGGCCACTCCTGGAGCGCAGGGGTAGGTGCTGTAGGGCTCTAGCGCAGCCTAGGGGGGAGCACTGCAGAAAGCAGGATTGAACTCTACTGCATACAGAACTGCTAAAAGCTAGGTCAGAAAATAAGGAATCGGTGTTGTATCTCCTCACCTCCTAATTCAACAGAAAGTTATCAGAATAAATCCATCTGCATGGCTTTGATCAGAGGAGAACAAAGCAAGCTGCCGGCACATCACCACCTTTAAGCATGGTGCCACTGTCCGTCTTTATCACTACCTAGGAGACACAAGTGCTGTGTGGAACAGAGTTCTTAAGAAGCCCCTCGCAAAGCTGTGGCCTCCACCAGCACTGGGGACACCACAGCACTGCGGACAACACAACACTGTCCCAAGGGCTGGTCACCCATTGCCTGTGCTCCACCATCGCCTCGCAGGCCCTGGGACCCCAAGGACCCCCTGATGGAGAGGATCCTGCTTCTCCCTGTAGTACGGGTAGGTCTTTAACCCAGAGCAGGAGCGCAGGACAAGCCCCCCATAGCCCCTCAAGAACCATTAACCTTCTGCCAGGCTTTGCATCCCATTCATGAGCCTTACGAGGCGGCGATAGGGCCACTAACCACCACCAGGCCTTGGATCCCCTTTGGGGCTCTATGAGGGGCAGCAGGACCACTTCACGCCCAGGCCTCACCCTTGAGGCTTACAGGGTGAGCAGGACCCCACAGCCACCCTGCATCCAGTCCTGTACCCCCCTCGATGGCTTCGTGAGGCGGCTCGGGACCCCTAACCCACACCAAGCCTCCACTCTCCCCTCAGGAAGTACCCCCCCGGGCATCGTACCCCACCTTGAGCCTCAGAACGGGGGGCAGCCGCGCCACTAACCTCGCCACGAGACCTCCCCACCGCCCCTTGAGCCTTACGGAGGTGAAGGGGCCGCGGCACCGCCGGCCCCCGTGTACCGGGGGAGGCAGCGGACCCGCGACCCCGGCCCTGAGGAGACAGCGGGGGCACCGCTCCCCGCCAAGCCTCCGGATGTGGCGTCAGACGCACGCAGCGCCGTAAGGGCGGGAAAGGGAGGGGCATCCATCGTTGCTATGGCGACGGCCGTGTGGGATGAGGCCGCGGCCTGCCCGCCATGGCGGCGGTGGAGACGGAGCTGCAACCTCCCATTAGTGAAGGCCTCCACTCAAATAGTAATTAAAAGAATATACACATAAGTAATTTACCGAAAGAACCAGATCAGGCACATGGGAATTTGAGAAAAGCATAATCTGCTTTATTTTTTATTTTTTTTATTTAAATAAGGAGAATTCTTTCATATGGAAAGAGCTAATACAATCACATATTTGAAAGGAGAAACAATAGGTACTGAAACGAGGAGAAAAGGGGCGATAAAGAGTGTGCCGCAACTGGCCTGGTGATGCCGTGATTCGAGTTCCGGTCCAAGGAAAAGTTCCCCAAAAATATATAAACAGGTTGCACGTTACACAATTATCCATCGTCTGCCCTTTCAAATATCTGGTCTACATGAATAGACAAAGAGAGGAAAGGCCAAAAAAAAAAAAATGTCCTAGACAGGTCATGAGGTTAAAAGCTTTAAGGAGTACAATATCCCCTTGAGAAAACAACGATTTACAGAGAACCAGAGGGATTCCAGCTAAGGACAACACCTCGAGACATGCTAAGGGCGCTCCGCCTCACTGCTGCTAGTCCCTAAGGAAGGGGCTGCGTTGTGGATGCAGCCATCCCGAGGAGCTGGGGGATCCCAGTGGGATGGCTGTGGCCACAAAGAATATCTGGTGGTCTTTGGGTTAAAATGAAGAACAAAGGAGTTAGATTGCTGCTGTTTCTTGTCAGCAGTTCCACTGCTTGGGCAAAACGCACCTTTTCTGTTGATGGGCCACAACCAAGTGTATCCTGATGCCTGTTGTAAATTCTCATCCACAAATGCATCTTCCTGACGAGGAAAACTGGGCTGCTGGACGTCAAAAATAACCCGTGCTACAAGGGATTAACCTGTGCTGAACCAGCCAGAAGCAAAACAGAAGGTTAAAACGCAACAGAAGGAGATCCTGGCATGCAGTGGTGCTTGGAAGTGAAGAGCAGCCTGCCAAAAGGTGAGCAAAAACGCTAGGCTTGGGGGGTTTAATATATACCTATAAATACACAGGAACCACAGGGCAGGTTGTAGCTTTGCAGCATTCTTGCAAAGGAGAGTGTTAAATGGAGTGCCTCTGCATGAGCACAAACACGCATGGGAGTCCAGTGGGCTGCAAACACATTCAGAGTCACTGACGACTGCACAGTGGCACAGGGCAGAGCCAGGATGGAAGATCGACAAGCATACCTGTTTCACTGGTGACTGTGCTGCTTCCACTTATTTAAAAATATACAAAGTGGCTTTTTTATTTTCCTTTTTATTTTTCTCCTTTAGTTTTTAGTATATTTTTTCCTAAATTAAGAGCTAAAAGGGGGCTGGAGAGGAACGCAGCACTGAATGCAGCTGCCAGGCCATGAATCACTGCGTATGAGAACCAATTATACACATGCTTCAGACCTTCAGCTGAACAAAAAGCACCAAAGTCAGCCTCTGAATAGTTCTGCTTCACCCACTGCTGCTGGAAGTATGGATTCCACCTCTCCCTCCCACTGCACCTTTCCTAGCAGAAGGAGCCTGCAATTTGGTAGCTGATTTCCAGTCAAAGCAAAAGCAACTCACAAAGGAATAAATCATTAAGGCCCAACCCTTCAGCAATGGAGATGGCAAGCAAAGTATCCCCTTAGAAACCATATCCACACTCTATGCATCTCCATTCTTCTCTTCCCCAAGCTGAATTCCTATCAGCATACCAGCATCCTTGGCATTTCTGCATCGAAGATCAGAGGCTTTCCTTTTGACTCAAGAGCACCACAAACTGCACTAACCTTGCACTAGCTTTAAACAAACAAACAAACAAAAAAATCTATGCCAGAAAGGAAGGATATTGCACTGTAGAAATCTGGGCTCTGAAATGGCTTTCCACCACACAAAACTCCATTAAGTGAAAGAGAGTCTTGCCAACTGCAGCTGACAGTCACGCAATGGTGAGGAATGGAATGAAGCTCACATGCATTTCTTGGCCTTTCCTGCACAGAATAATTCAGACATAATATATAAATAGAGCAGTGAAACAATTACTTTTTCACCTAGACCTACAACATCAAATACGTATAAATAAATTCTAGTGTTTTATTCTGTTGGGGGAAGGAATGGAGGGGTTAAAAGAAGGATGATCTTTTTCAACAGGAAGTATTGTAGTTCTGATGGCATTTACACCCGAGGGACTGCAAGAACTTGTATCTAGCAATAACCCAGTTTCTCCAACACATTTGACCATTTTAAAGTCATACAGGTGGGAGGAAAGAGGTTAGTGTCTTTGTAAGCTTACGTAGTGTGTCTAGGGTAGGAAAGAGATGTGAAGGGGGGGCTTGGATAAGTCTCTTTAGCCATTACAGTTAAATTCTGAGCTATTATTAGCTAGGGCCAGCTGGGCAGGAGGATAATAATAAAAAAAAAAAAAAGAAAAAAAAAAAAAGAAAACCCAGACAATCCTCTTGTTCATGAATTCCAGAGAAGAAAATAGAAAGGAGGCTGGGATGTCCTACTGGTGGAGCAACCTTTGGAAAACACTGGGAGCAGGACGAGCAGATGAGGATGCAGGTCTGGGAGATGGCTGAAGGCTGGGGAAGCATTTCTCACTACATCTCCAACCCTGTACTTGGATGAGGGTACTAAAGAGATGCTGGCACACTCTGCTCTGAAGTCAAAAATTCATAAAACATGAGGGGGGAAAAAAAGAGCTTTTATTTTTCTTAAAGTACCATCCTATCCCTTTCCCTTTGGGTTCTCTCTGCCACAGTCAATGGGGACACCTGTGGAGAGGGGACATTGCTATATGTCTAAGTTAGTTTACGTTTCTAAGCTCTTTAAAGCTACTGTATAAAACACTTATTTATACTTAGCTTAAAACTTCAAATGCATCCCTAGAAAGTCATGAAGGATCTTGCCCAAAACAGGGGGGGGGGGGGGGGTGGGAGTAGGGATAAAGCAAACAGAGAAACAAGAACACCTTTCAGATCCCTTCCCGAATACATTCTTTGTTCAAAGCATCTTCTTTGGAACCACCACCAAATGACTTGCTGCCACCCAGCAGAGGCAGACAGCACAGCCAGTTAGCAAGCTGTCATCTCCTGCAGAAATGGTTTCTTTCCCTCACTTCAGAGTGACCAGCCCACTTTACATTTTGAAAGAGCTAAACAAGACAAACCAAGGTAGCTGACAGTAGCGAGTTTACTTAAGACTACCATCAGCTGAAGGACTCCATGCACCTCCAGGAACCTGGAAGTCCATTCTAAAAATCTACATACACACACACACACACAAATCAAAACCAAACAACCACAGAAATAAAAGCCAACCTCTTCCCACTGGGACCTTCCTTCCATAGATCATCAAACACTGGTGGGGAAGTGTGAGGTGACGGTAACTGTACACGCACTATAAGCAACTGCACTGATGCTTTGCTGTTCATCTGGGGAAGGATGAGTAAAAGGATGATTCCAAACTGCCTTTGTAACATGCATTTCCAATACAAAAAAAGGAGGTTCCAAGTGTGCTAAAACGGCTGCCTTGCAGAGGGGCTCCCTTCACGATGTGTTTCTACATTGATTTTACAAAAGGCTGTTGAGATAGAGGGACACAAAGCAAGACTTAGGGAAAAGGGAGAAGAGCAAAGCTTAGGAGAGCAGCCCCAAGGGATGAACACAAGATAGAACAAGTCCCAGGAGACAGGAAGAATTAGAGCGGCCAAGGTAGGGAGCATAAGAGAGCATCACAACTACAAAAAGTAGTCTATACAGACCCGTTGGCTCTGGCCAACTCTTCTGACAGATGTGTGGTGAGGAGATTTTACATTTCGTAAATCTATGATTTACATTTTATTGTGTGTTTGGCAGTCACTAAAAAATCCCAAACCCACAAAACCATCAACCAACCAAATCCCCCTAGATCCAGATGAGTTTGCAACAGAAATTTGGAGGTTTTTTTTCCTTAAAACGAAAATGCCACAATTTTGTTGTGCACAAGCACCCCAAAGCTACAATTAACATGGTGCAAGTCTCAATATTAATGCACTGATCTACTATATACCTTTAGTACACATTTACTTTTAATGCAAGCACTGCTTCTAGCTTAAAACAAGATACTGAAAAATTAATGAATGCCATAACTGTCCTGTATTTTTAAAATCAAATAACCTGAAAGGCTAAATCATCTGGGGAAATACACCCAAACAAACTCAATTTAGAAGTCATGATTCTCAACATAGCACAGAACCATATATAAAACAAAGCAGAGTTTTGTCAGAACATAATTTGAGCAGGAGGGAATTCTTTTTGGAATGAGGAAAACAGAAAGAAGGGGTGGGGAAAATGAGAGAACATATAAAAGTTCTGCTATAAACAAAGATATAGCATTTCTGTAAAAACCTCAGCTGCCTTTAAAATGAAAAACCTCAAACTAACCCCTCTCCCCCAGTTGCCACTCTGCTGAGACAGAAGTAGGGAAGGAGAAGGATGGGATTTGCCAAGTGAGCAATCACAGCTACCTGTGGATGGGGCATGGGGAGGGGGGGTAAAAATAAAAAACAAATGGCTCGAGCCACTTAAAAAGTCACAAGGTTGGATTTAAAGCAAGCAGGTCAATGTCATATCCACTGTTTCAAACTGCTTTGTTGGGAGACAGGCTTGGATGATGTTGCTGTAGTCAGTCTATGTGGGGCAGGGAGTAGATCTGGCAATTTTCAGGAGATCCAGTGGGGTTCAGTCTAAGCTGCAGGGCCTCTCAGGCAGCAGGACCAGGCAGGCATCAGAGGTGCTCCTAGGCCTTGCTTTCCTCCACTTTGACTGCCTGAGGTTTGATGGCTCCTGTGCGCACTGGCTTCATCTGGTTTGTGGAGGCTGTTTCTTGCAGCTTTACTGCTCCCAAGTTGGCTTTATTCTCATCCACCCGCTGCTTTGCCTTTTGACATACAACAACAAAGCATTAGCTAGCACAGACACTTCTAGGCAGATATAAAAACCAAATTGTGACCACCATTCACGCAAGACATCAAATTTGTTCCAAAATCCAGGTATTTCTTCTCTTCCGGCACACTCTGCTGTCCTAAAACATCCCACGTAAGGACCTCAAAGTGTTTCACATGTCTCACAATACAAATAACCCACAAAAACTCAGCAACAAACAACAGAGACGCTGTAAAACAGGTAATCCTCTAATCTCCCCTGACTTTCAAATCACACAAGCATTACTCTTAGACTCATAATGCCTACCCACTCACTCTCCCTTCAGGCAAAGTAAGAGCTCCCAAATTACATCAGCCTTTCTGACACTCTTAAAAGTCCAAGGCGTAAGCACGACAGTGTGTAAGAGCAGACACTGTTGGGTCAAAGTACTGATGTACGCTACCTGCTGTACATAGTGTCCTTGCACAGAGCCCATACTAACTGCTGGTCCAGATGGCTTCCCACTTGGGCTGGCAGAGCTAGGCCTGGAAATCGAAGAGTCGACAATATTCATGGAGTAAATTCTACAATGGAATGAGAACCTTATTCATGTGTGAAATTAAGAACAGACAGCAGAAAGCAGCAATTGACAGGGAATGAGTCTGTGCTGTGCGCATCAGCGAGCTCCCCAGCCCAAAAGACAACACATGGATTGGTTAAGAGAAAAAAGGCTCAATGACGTGAAGGTCTGGTATGTCTAGACATGAGCACCACTCATCTTGAGCATCATGCTGGAAATTAAAGTGCCTACTCAATGCGCCTCAAATTTTCCACCTTAACAAGGAACACACAGAAGCACACACCAGTTCTAAGTTGTCTTTAAGACTCAGTTAACAAGTAACTTCATGCACGTCCCACAGGCATAAAGGGCCAAGACAGATACACACTGGTCCACACCCAAAACTGAAAGCCATGATCATGCATTTTGATACACGTATTTGGACTACAGCGAGCACATTCTACATGTGAAAACCCAAGTGTATCCTGTACAGGGATGATGCATGCACCATGTCACTGAATGGGGAACACTACTTCTTCCCCATTCAGTCTACAGAGAGTTTAAGTTCCATAGACGTTGTTACCTGTACGTATGTGGTGATGGTACAGACCCTCCAGAGGACATACTCTGTTTACCATCAGAGAAATGAAACCCTTTCATTTCCATTTGGGAGGACTACAAAGGAAAATGAGCAAGAGTATCATCTTTGCATCCACAAATCACTTACTACTTCAGATAAACACTTAAGGCAAATCTTTGCCCTTCTACCCATTGTGCCCATCAAAAGAAGAAACATTTTTCAGGCAAAGAGAGTGATGCTTATAAGTGACATAATCTGCTTGTATTAAAGCAACAAGCCAGCAGCACAAGAAAACACAGGACCTGTGCTTTCTCTCCCCTGTAATAGACAAACTTATGAATCCATCAAAGCAGACATGACATGAATATACCTACTCAAATGGACATGCTTCACAACAGTGTGAAATATCTGGGCAGTATTCCAACTGTGTCTGGAGCTCACCACCCCTCAAGCACTCTGGGGAAACCTGTGTAAACATGTAATAAAACTGGAGACTCCAAACTGGATCAAAGCAGGATGTGGCTCCCTGGAAACAGAATGATGACCAGCAGCAAAACCTGACAAACTGCTGGCCTGCGCTTTGGAGATGAGGGCAAAAGGGTTCCTTCATTTGAACACCAATCCTTGGCTTTGTTATTTAAGGATCCAAATAAGCCAGTCTCCCCTTCAACAACCAATATCAAGGAGCGAGACCTCAATGCAGGATGGGCTAACCAATGCCAAGGTGAGCACGCAGGAGTTAATCCTTACCTCCCTGCTGGTAGCAAGAACAGAAGGCTGGGATCCAGGAGGGAGGATTCTTCGGGGAGCTCCTACAGGCAGGTTTTGCCCCTGAGGAAGCTGGATGGACTGTGGTAGAATCAGGGGCTGCTGGCCAGAGCCATAGCGGGGCAGAGGAAGCTGAGAGCCAGGCACAGGCATCGTTAGCTGAGTGATAAGGACATGTAGTTAACTTCATGGTGTTAACAGGCTGCTGTTTGAGACTCTGTCTCCTAATACCCTGAACACACAGCATTACTAAAAGGAAGCTAACAAACCGTGCAGTCTGGCACAGAATAAATGCAGATCAACATAACAGAGGGACTTCCACATTGAAATGCATGTTCTGGTAGTGCTGCCAACACCCTCTCAGCTGGGCTTTTAACACGGCACTGATTTAACAGAACTGCACTCAGACACAGGGCTTTCCTCCTTGCCTAAAGCCTTCTCCCAGTTTTTCAGTCTTCCTCATGGTCGCTGCATGGGGTTATTTTCTCTTGGTATGATGGCAGCATCAGACAGTTCAGTGTCCAGTGTTTTGTTTGCAGTTTTGATGCCCAGACCAGGAAGTCTGCTACGCTTTCAAGCCAAAGCATTTCAAGGACTGAACCTCTAGAGAAAGTGACAGCAACCTCAGCTCTCTGTTCTGCACTGAGCTTCAAACTGGTGATGGTAGGAATTAAGAGAAATCTTAAAACATACGGCTCAGGACTCGTGTCCCCTCTTATTCATCTGGCAGTCCTCACAAATGCTGGAATTGGGAGGTTCTATGACAACACTTTGTAATAAATAAATAAACTAACTAATAAATAATCTAAGGCTGGCAAGAGACCAAGCTGCTAGCTTATGATGGATAAAGCATTTCTTCAGATATTTGGTTTGCCAGTATTCTCTGCATTTTCTTGAGCTAAAACTCTACATCAGTTACAACATAAAAATCCCTCTTTAAACAGAACAAATAAACCTTAACACGTTGCACAAAATAAATGAGTTTAATAAAAGTATCAAACTTCTCCAGAGAATCAAACATGTGTCCACAAGTACAGCTATGCTCACAGGAGGATTCAATGTCTTTATCTGAACCACGCTTTACAAAAGCTTTCTCACACAGTGAAATTCTTGTTAAGATGCTGCCAAACAGATCAGCAGAAGTTGTAAATAAGACCTGGATAAGAAATGAATTGAGAAGATAGATGAGCATTTAATAAAAGGTTTTAGTTACCCTGGAAGCAGAGTTAAATCTGGAGGCGGTTGGGATTTGGCTCTCAGAAGGAGGTACTTTTAGTACAACCACTGCTTTATGGCTTCCTACGCATGAAGCACTGCAAGGTTTGATCTGCATTAAATGTCTATATTAAGGGTGAGGACTTCAGAGTTAGAAAATGACATCTCAGCAGGGATAGACAATTAGCAAGCATCTCATTAAATAAGGTGCTGCATGTTTGAAACAATGGCTCACAGAACAAAGTCTCTCAGGGAATCCTTTTGCCTCTTTACAAAGAGCTTAGTTCACACAAACACATAACTCAGCACAAATAGGTTCAACCCAGCCTCAGAAACAAGTGGCTGTGAAAAAGCCTGTACATGGGGAGTGGCTCATGAGCCCTGCTCCTAACCTGCGTAAGCTGAGAGTCCATCATCTGGGAGGCTCCCATGCCAGCCGCCTGGTTTATCTGGCCTTCATAAACCAGTGTCTGGCTTCCATTCATGGGCTGGTAGGGGGACCCAGACTGGGTTTTCACCACCTCTAAGGGCTGCATGCCTGGGAAGGCGGAATACGGAGGCTTCAGAGCTGTGCCTCCTGTCAGGACCATGGTGCTGGGTTGAGACAGACTGGGGTGCATATACACCTGAGACCTGGAGAGGAAAAACATGCTCAAGTCATTACACAGAAAACCTTTGGAGACCGTACACACACTCCTCCTGCCAAAATGTATCTAGCCTGCAATCAGTTCTCAGGTTCTCCTAAGCTGACAGCTTAGAAATAAGCTGTGATGCCACCTTCCATTTTAGTAACAGGGTGGTTTTTCTTACTTCCACTTTTAAGCCCTTACAACCATGTCCTCTTGCTGCAGAAATATTCAACAGAATGACAAAGTTTATGTTTTGATATCCTGCACAATAAGCTCTGGATTAGTAGTTAAGGGAGGATTCAGCTTACTGGAAGTCTACAGCAGTTTTACAAAGCAGGAAAGAATCAGAAGTTACAAGATTCAAACAGCTCTGGCAATTTTTTGTCAAAGTGCAGGCATTTATTCTGTTCTTGTCAGTATGTACCTAACAAAGGGAGCAATTTTATTTCATTATCCTGGTACTCAGATCTCATTAAACCCTTTGTCTTGTAAACCAGTAAGCTGTAAGCTCTGTGTTCTTCACTAGTTAAGCCTGTTTGCTAGCTCACAAAACTCCTCTTTCTGCATCTTCTCCAAGAGTTGCCTCTTGCTTTAAGAGGGTAGACAGTACGACTGAGTAACTTTCCAAGGACAGTCTTTCCCAATGTCCTGCAAAGCAACATATGCCCCAATACTCTTGCTCTCCACCCCGGCAGTGTTACTAGGAGCACATCAACAAAGGGGGAAGAGAAGATGAGCACAGAGTATCTGATAAATGTGCACTGCCATCAGGAACAGAGGAAATCAAACCACGAGGAAATAAAAACTGGAAGCAGTTACCTGAAGGGCTGAATGGAACTGTACATCTCCTGGGACTGGGAAACCGGCAGACCACCCCTCAGCCCAAGCTGAGCTTGGGCCTGTAAGGATGTGTGGAGGGAAATGGGAATCTGTTGAGCAGCAGCAGCCTGCAGAAGAGATTAAGATGATTGAGAGGTACAAGAGAAGCCAGAAACTCTCACAGGCTGTTAAAAAATCCATCAGTTTCCTCCACGAATCAGTCTGTCATGACACTGCATCTTTACCCAGCCCCTGCATCATTCCACAGAACAGCAGCACACTGGCAGGAGCACCCAAGAGGGAAGACTGATGCCTGCAAGAGGCATTTGATGGATACATACAGGGACCAATGTGCTTCACACACAGAATACACACTGACAATCCCGGTTCTCATGTACTAAGGCTAGTGAAATTGCTCATCAGTATTGACTGGCTGTGGAATTCACTTCATACAGGTACCTCAGCATCTGCTTCAGTTAAACACAACCGAAAGGCACTGGTACAAATGCGGAAAACCCCTCAATTCCCTCCCTTCAGTGTCATTAACCTGTGACATCCACTGGGAAGCAGCATCCAAGGAATATTAAAGGAGCCACATCTAAGCTCTTCTGGGCTATCAGAGATAAATGACTCCTAGTTTTCTTAAATGCCACCCTGAAGACCCCTTCAGAAACCACTACCTGGTTCTTTCTGCCTCACCTGTTGGTAGCTTTGCTGCTGAGGTATCGTCTGAGGGACCAGGCGGGGCTGACTTGCAAACACATGGCCATCCAGATACAGGGGTGGAATATGGTTACCTGAACATGAGAAGGCTGGGTGTAAATTCAAGGTACAGATACAGAGACTTGAAGGTCGAGATTATTTCCTACCCCTCAGCAACCAGCTCAGCAAGTCAACACAAACATAATGCCCATTCAGAAGAGCCTATAAAGCTCCTAAATCAACGTAACAAAGCCAGCAGCCTGCTTACAGTAGTTCTCTTGCTGTGAATTAATCATACATTTCTGTAAGAGGCTAAATGTAAACCCAGGTTTCCCACCTCCACAAAAGAGTCAGAAACAGTAACAGTCCAGGAATTGGTGAACTGTACTCCAGACTCTTCCTAAATGCTGGAAGCCTGCTCTGTAATCACTTCATCTTTGCAGCTACAAGGCACAGAAAGAGCAAATATGGTGCTGAGACCTTCACACAAGAGATCTAAAAGCTGTATTAACCCCAAAGGTGGCACCAGTTAGAAAGTGCTGTGCCACTCTTGTGGCTCTGTACGGATCTGAACCATGGGATTTACAAGCAAAATTAGGGTGAGCAGGGAAGGAAATCACCTGACTTGGAACAATCTCTTTTCCAAGTGGACACGAGTAACAGACTCACTAGAGTGGTCCACTCGCTATCACTTCTGTTCAGCATATTCCTTTCTGTTCTTGAAGAGAGGAATGAAAGGATAGTGCATGCATGAGAGGTCCGCTGGGACCCGGAAGTCAGAGAAACAAGCTACATTTCCTTTTTCTAGATGCTCTCCCTAATTACACACAGTATGTAACACAACTGAGCCTAGCTTTGCTTCTAACTCAAAGACAGCAACACCTTCCCACCTCCCAGAGCTCTGCAAACTATAAGCAAGTTGTTATCACACACAGAGCAGAAGGTGCTCAGAACCTCTGCCTTAAATAGCAAAATGAGCAGAGGAATGAATGGTTGATATTGGGACTGCTGAAATCTTTCAGCCACGTTTCTTCCCTTCCCTCCTGTTCTACTGAAGACACAAGTGAAGGGTAAGCTAGACCTTGAGACATCAGACTTGCTCCTACACAGGGAATGTCATCCTTGTGCTAAATTTATACCAGTTATGCTCAAGTGACATTCTTTGAAGTGGGGAGACTTCCCTCTTTCTGTCTTGACTGAATTGTTGTTAAGAATCTATTAAATACCAGCCAGTCAGTTAACTTTACACATAAGCTCTTCTCGCCATGCCTCTCATCTAGAATCAGATGATTCCTAAATACCAACCAGACAATGCGAATACTGCTGCCACAGTTTGCAGGTACCTGGAATAGATGCAGAAGGTGCTACAGATGCCACAGGCATAGGAGGCATGGAAACTCCACCAAAAGAGCTGTAGCTGACACCGTTGGAAGCTCCAACACTGGAAGGAGGCTGGATGCCTGAGCCTGCACCTCCTGGGGAGTTCTGTTCTGGTAAACTAGGAGAGTTTTCCCAAGCTTTACGTGCAGACTCCATCTATGGAAACGAAGGACAATAACTACAGACAGTTCAAATGGGGAGGACAATGAAGCCATGAGTTCCTCACCTATGACCTGTTAGCTCAAATTCAGCCTAGTCATAGGGGAAAGCTGGCAGGTCTCAGGTCATGGGGCTTCACAGCAATTTCCAACGGGCAAGCATCCTTCACAAACACTCAACCCCTACTTGATATCTGCTGAGCTTTCTGGGTTTAGAGTGGTGTTTCTTGCCGATGCTGTTTATGTTTGGTGTTTTTTGGGGGTGGGTGGTTTGTTTTGTTTGGGTTTTGGGTTGGTTTTTTTTTCCTTCTTTAGACCATCAGGCACTTAGGATTCCTGACCAGCCATCTTCCCCAGCTACTGAAATAGCAGGAAAGCTCTGTTGCACTTTTCTACAAGGGGCAAAGACTTCAGCATCCAGGACTGTTGAAACACATGCGCTTCCACCCACATCGAATAGCATATGCACACCTTTACTGGAGCTAATTAAAGATTTAGCAGTACCTAATAAAACACTCTGGGAAAGATCTCTCCATCCTACATACCCTGGCCATGGAAACGTGGTATCCACGCCCAGGACAACCACACATGCCAGCTTGCTTACCTTAAGAGTGAGATCTGCAGTGGGAAAGGACATTGGGTTGAGGCCAATGCAACGCTGAAGGTGATGATCTCTTCGCAGAATGGGAATGGACTGCGTTAACCCTGCCTGAGGGGAGATGGGTCAATAGTGAGTACTTTATAACTCTCATGAGAAAAGTTATATGCTACCAGCTAGCAACTCCAGTACATCTCAAAGGATTTAATCCTCAGTGGTACTGCAGGAGTTAAGTACCACATTTGACTGTGATCCATTTTGCTGTTGGAATAACTGAAGCTTTGCTTATGTGCAGTGACACCCTCTCTGTCCAGTTACACCAGCTTCCACTTAAGCATCAACCTGACTCAGTAACTTCATTTTGCACAAGAGTTCCTCCACCTGTCCCATATTTGGAATCCACCTCAATTTTGAACGAAACCTCTTTTTGAAAGAACACTTCTGAAGAAACACCCTTTTAGATAAATCTCCAAAATCAAAGAGACAACAAACCTGAAGACATTTCAAAGAAGCTCTGCGAGCTTCTCATATTGCCATGCACAGATGAGCTGCAAGCTGGGCTTTCAGTGTGCTCACTCTTTCATATATAATAATGAAATAGCTAGATGTCTAGAATAAGCTGGGAAACCTCCAAAAGGGCCTAACTAAAGTTACACTTCTCTGCCTTGCTGTGGCAGAATAGACCTTCTGAGGATGCTGGCAATCCGGACCTAAAAACACCCCTATCTGTACAATTTCCATTACCAACACTCTTGTGTCTCAAGAGGAGGAAGCTGCTGACCTCAGACATACCTCTTGTTTTACACAAGTCACAGTGATAATGGGGTTGCTCCCTATACCCCTTTTGAGTGAGCAATGCTCCTCTTACCAATGTACCTTGAGGGCACAGATTTCCATTATGGATTTTAGTCACATGTGCAGCCTGAGCATTAAGTGGGAGATCAACTGCAAAGAAATACACTTGCTCTCTTTGGAGTGACGTTTAACCAAGGAGTATCTCCAATGAATCAGTGCCAAAAGAAATACTTACATTACTGGCCAAGGCATCCTGCAATTTGGTGACAGGGTTAGCTGCACTGCCAGAGGCAGAACCGGGTGGCAAGCTGAAATCAGAATCCTGAAAGAGCAAAACATACAAATTCAAATCCAGGTTCAAGGGCCACCCATCTGCTTCTCATGGTTAATGACTCTAGCCTGAATCACAACACTAGACACTAAAGACTGCTCTCCAGTAAGACTCGCTGGAAGAGAACAAGATGACATTTCTCAGCACTGAGCAGCAGGCAACCCCCAGAGGCACACAAAGGCTTAGATGACCATAATTTTGCCCCTCACCTCTGTTACTACCCCAGCTGGTCCTTGGGACAGTATTTCCAAGTGGATATAACATGTTTGCCAAGACATCTTGAGTACCTGGTTTGTGTCAGTAATGAAATCTAAGGCAAATCTACAGCTGGAAGCTTCCTTCAAATCATCCTTCTGCCCCAAACCACCTTTCCTATTTCAACAAGCTCAAATCACCAAGAAGATGCAATTAAATTCAATCCTCACTTTAGGATTTACTCCAAATTCAATGGGTGGCACAGGAAGTACAGAATCCACGTGAATTTCTACCCCGTTAACAGGGGGAATATTCCCTTCCAGCCGTTCCGTTCCCTCCGAACCCTTTCTGTTTTTCAGGGAGCGTTCGTTGCCGATTGGTCCAGGCTTGTGTTCCTTGTTCTGTCCTGAGCCTTGATCTGAATCCTTAACAGGAAAGCAGAGAGGCTGAGACACAAAGACTGAATATGCCAATCTCAAGCCTTAAAAATGCTATCAAGAACAACACAACCACTTCACAGGGTCTCCCACTATGAGCTTTGGCTTGGCTGCGAATCCAGATTACCTTTTTATCAGATTGCTTCTGCACTTGCTCCTTCTGACAGTCAGGCTTTGCGTCCACCAGGCCAGCCCCATTCATCTCCTCTGGTTTGAGGGTGCCATATGGAGAACTGCGCTGAGAGGAGGTAGCGGAGGATTCCCGAGACTCCGCGCTCAAGTCAATGCCACTATCCCCCTGGCTGCCTTTAAAACCCTGCTATGCAAAGCACGAAATGTGTTAAAGCCCCAGACTCCAACCCAGCTCCACAAAGGAGGGAAAAACACCCAATCCCAGAAAACAGGAAGACCATGTCCCTTTTCAAATCGCATTCTTAGTTATCTGCAAAGGATCTGTGCATCCCTTGGCTACTGCTTCAGCTCTATACAACCCTGACACAGGGTAAACCAATGCACCAAATGGACTGTGGCTTTAGAATAAGCAAGAAGAGATCCACATAGAAACTAGGCTGAGATTGCCAAGCTCATTTCACTTGTGACCCAAACCAGATTTGAACTCTGGTCTCCAGAGGTGAAGAATTAAGGAACCTCCTCCACCCTCCCTACATTAAGGCTACAGCTACACACTGCTGATAGGCAGAGGCATGCAGACATGATCTACAGGACTCCACCACACTCTGTGTCCAGTTAGGAGCATAACCTTGGAAAAGCTCTACCAGATGGTTACTCTAGATTTACACCTACCTGGCACATAACACCTCTACATCAAGATTTGAGCAGCATCAAGCTCAAATTAGAACTGCAAAGGGACAGTTTAAAATTGCGAAAGCAGAGCTGAGAGTTGCTAAGCACAGATGGAGCAATGAGAAGCATAAGCCACCTACGTTAACTTTACACACAAAATACCTGAATGGCACATCAGGTGCCACTTACTTACCTCAGTGGTGCTAGATTCAGTACCATTAAAGGTATTTACAGGTTTGTTCCAGGAATCGCTGCCAGGAGACTGAACAGAAAGCGCTGGAAGAAAACAGAGGGATCAGCTGTTTGTAACACAACTATGAGCACACCTTGTACACTGTGCATGCTACACTATGAATGCTCCACTTCTAGACATGAGATATTTTCCCCACCTCAGAAAGCCAGTGTTACCTGACCAGCTGAGACGTGAAGGAGCACAAAGAATACAGGGTATAGAGAGCAAAGAGATTTCTTAGGGAACATGGAAACAGTAGAGGAAGAAAGGGCAGAGACAGAAACAAGGAAGGCAGCAGCTGGTCAGTGTTACAAAATGAGAAAACAGAGGAAGACAAAGTAAGAAAATGGGTGAAGCAGATGCAGCCCAACAGGCTAGAAAATGCTATATAATAGGTTCTTAATGTTACATGATGACTCAAGAAATAGATTAGGAGACTAACATGGTCAACAGCAGGAGGTGGATGGTTGAACAGCACAGTATGAACAGATGCTGCGCTAGATGTCTGCTAGCTCCCCTCCCACTCCCACTAGCATCATTCTCTTAAGCACAGACACCCTGTCCTTCCTGTACACACCAAAGGATTACTCAGGTTTTTCAACACTTCAGAAGTACTCCACTTCCTAAACTTACCTGGGCTGTTGCTCTCCCAGATCTCTGTGCCCAGGCTGTTTCCAGACACTGCTACATCACCTTGCTCCAAGCACAAGCTGTTCTGCTTCTTGGCAAACCGAGGAGGAATGCGAGACTGAAGAACACGGGCCTTAGCTGGTGCCTGAAACAGAAAAGGCACAGCCTGAAAGACCTGTTCCTGCACTGAGCTAACACAACTTGTTCCTGGCAAGTTCAAACCATGCATTTCTAAATGCTACAATGCGAAAAGCCCCCAGCTCATCTAATAGAACCATACAAAGTTAAGTCTGACATGCAAACCTCTTTCTTTTAAATGGACCTTATGGCTACTGGGAGGTTCTCCCAATATAACAGGGCAGTGAAAAAAGCTGCCTTCAGCAACATGAGATTTTCTTGGGGAGAGGAGGTAGGGGAATGGGATACAAAGCAAAACACTTTGTGGGCCCTGTGTGTGGCCCTGACTGCAGACCAACAACGTATCAGGTTGAGCTTGTTCTGCCCCCCACTCCTCACCTGAGCAGCCTGCTCCTTCTTCCTTCGCTCTTCTTCCAGCAAGCGACGCTGCTTCTTAGTAAGAACCTCAATGAAGCCTTCACCTGCCATAGAACCTACTTCATTCTCTTCTGCTGTGTTCGATACCCGACTGTCGATGATGGTACCTGAACAAAGCACACACAGGGAAAAAAACAGTGCATTTGTATATGCAGATAAAGCTTTAAAACTGCAATAATAAAGAGTGCATTTCAAACAGAATCCACAGGTAACCAAGTTCAGCCAGCAGCACTGCAGAGCTCAGACTCAAATTCCCCACTCTGGATGCTCTTTTCATTTCCTTCTCACTACATAAGGTATTTTGGCCTTGCTATTTAACATCTTGGATAGAAATACAAAAATATTCTCCCTAAAACCTGCTTTTCTATAGAATAAGCATTAAAGAGACTGTTAGATCGGGCTGAAAATCTGGGTTTAAAATTTAAAGCCATCTTTTGTCTTCCATGTTTTCCTTATTTAGATACATTGGAATTTTCTTGTTAGTGTAAATAAATGGAAAAAATCTAGCCTGATATTTAAAATGACATTGGATTAAATGAGTCTGTCTTGAAGTCAGCCATAATGCGTTATCCCTTTAAAGAAACAAATCAGTAGAGACACTCACTTCCATAGCTCAGTTCAAACTGTGACAAGGCCTCTCCCTTCTCACTTGCTCTTTGCGCAGTGGATTTGGGCTCCTTCTCTGGCTTTTTACCTGGCCCCTCAGCACACTCTGAGTTGGCATGGGAGGCCCTATCCAAGCTGTAAATGGAGTGGCTGCTCCCACCACTCGTGTTGCCAAGGCCCCCTCCTTCTTCTGGAGACCTACAAGGAAAGAAGTGAAAGGAATTAGATTTGTCCCCACAAGATGAGTAAATGTACCAAGAGGAAAACACATGGGCTGTATTTTCTTTACCAGTTTCCTAATCACACCTCATCCTTTCCCAGCCTTTGCCCAACTGAAGCAGATGTTAAAATTCTGAGCATGCAGCCCATTACAAAGATGCTACTGGAGATGTGGGATGGAAGCAGAATACCTGTAGTCATGAGTTAAACGTGCTGCCCCTGCAACAAAGCTGAATAACCTCACTTGTCTCTATGAGGAGGGCCCTGTGCTTCTGTAGTCTTCCCTCCTATGACACTGCTCTAACAGCTCCCCTTTGCAATTAATGCACCCTTCTTGGTAAGGATTAATGTGAGGGAAAGGGAGACAGGGGGAAGCTGATGACATTGAAAGGGAAAAAAAACCCGTAATTTTCCCATTTTATTTCTCCCAGGTATTTTTGTGCTCATTTGACCATCATCTACACACCATTCCCAAGTGTTCAACTCACAAAAGAGTAACCTGTCCCAGGAAAACCCAGCCCTCACTTCTGTCCTCTGCTACACTCCACTGGGGATCCGTGACAGGAGGGGAAAGACACAACAGGATTGGAATTCAGGACCAAGATTTCCTTCATTATCTGTCATCTAGTGAGAGGCAATCCGGACAGTAAAGAGCTGCCTTGGTCAGAAACTAAGGCAAAGAGCAGCAGCACACGACAGAACACAGTGTCTCAGCAACTTCCATAAACCTGGATTCCCAGCATGGAAGCAAAGGCACTGATCGATAGTGAAACAGACAGTAATGAAACCCTTGGATGTCACAAAGCTGGATAAACACTGGTGGAAGTCACCTGCACTAGATGGAAAGAAACACAGTCCACAGCTCCTCACCCAAAGTTCAGCCCTTCTCCAACCCCATGCCCATGTATCAGGTGTCAGATCTTTGCACATCCGAATGCAACCTCACCTTTTGCTTTTTATCAGTGTCCCGTTCTGCTGACTCTCGTATCTGGAAGCTGCTCCCACACCAGTCCTGACAGACTGCTCTGCAAACCCTGCTGGCTCGGCCTTGCGGCTCTGCCTGTCCACAAGTGGCCTCTGGCTCGAGAAGCTCCTCTTTGCCAGCTCCCTCTTTTCTCCCAGGCTCCCACTGCAGAGGCCACCCTCCAGCTGGCCTTCACTCTCTGAAACTCCCTCTCGCCTCTCCCGCCGCTCACTGAAGTCACTGCTTTCAGATGCTGTCTCCCATTCCTCATTGGCGTGATCTGATGAGTTCTGGTAGGACAGCTCAGGAGACCGTCTGCCTGAAATGCTGCTCTTCTCTGCACTGGTCAGCTTGGGTCTTCCAGGCCACTGGCTGGGCAGTAGGCTGGGGCCTCCTTCCTCAGGGTTCCACTGGCCAACTGATTCCCTCTCTTGCCTGAGGCGCCTGAACCGTGGGGGCTTGTCTTGGCGGGGAGGACGCCGCCTCCTGAAAGGCCTGTTCTCTATGTTCTCCTGATCCGCTGAGTAATCCTCCTGGAAAAAGTGCCTTCTGTCATCCAGATGACTCTCATCGAAAACCCGGCTGGAGAAGGAATCCACGTGTTTGTAAGAATCCTGAATGTAGTCCCTGTCAGCCTGCTGCCTGCTCCCAAAAGTGTCCGATGGAGAGGTGTGGCTGTACTCCTGCCACCCTGCTCCCCCACTCCTGCCTTGCCACTGGGTGGGCTCCTTACCCATGAACCCCCTTCTCCCATAGCCAGAGTTGCTCAGTCTTGGCGGCAGTGATCTCCCAAAAGCTCTCTGTGCCCTCATCTTCGGATCCAGACTATTGTGATCATCTGAATAGATTTTGTTGGACCTCCACGACTCTTTGAAGTCTCCCTTTTTTAAATCACTGTCCTCCCGGTCCAGCACGGAGCCTTCGTTGCTGTTTTCTGAGCCCCTTTGCCGGCGACGCTTGGGGAGCTCCTCATACTCTGACCCTTCGCTGTGCGTCTCGCTCGCAATGCGGCGCCTTGGCTTGCCCCGGGGGAAGTCCTCTGCCTGGTTGAACTCCCGCAGCCCTCGCCCTCGGCTGCTCCGCTGGTTGTTATAGACCCCCCGGCTGCCCACTACAGTGCCTCGGCCTCGGAAAGTGAACTCTCTGAAGCCTCTCCCTCGTCCACGTCCTTGACCTCTCCCACCAAAGGCTTGTTCCTCATCAATGAAGATCCAGTTGTTTCTTTTGGTGGGAGGGAGATCACCGGATTCTCTGGATAATTTGTTCTCCCAGGTTCTTTCTGGCTTTTCTTCCTCTTCTTCTTCCTCGTCTTCCTCTTGGGATTTCTCAGCCTCTCGGGCAAGGGTGGCTTGGGAAGAACCTTTGTCATCCAGCACGTAACGCGTGGAGTTCACTAAGGCTGCAGAATCATCTGACTCGTTTTCTACTTTCTGAACAGCTGCCTTCTCCTTCAGTGGGCGCGAGGTGTCCTCTCCTTCAAGCTTAACCTTCTCCATCTCCTTCTCCTTCTCCTCCACCTTGAGGGCTTTCAGGACTGGCTTTTTAATTGGGCCCGATCGCCGCGTCCTCCCCATTTGCTCCTGGTGCTGACCGCTGGTGGTACGGTTCTCAGGAGCCCACTCTGTTGCCTCTTCTGTGGGCTGTTTGGTATTAGCTCCTTCTTTCTTCCATGGGTCAGCACTGAATGCCTGCTCATCCCTGGGTGCTTCTTCAGCAGCTTCTGCTGCAGTCTCTGCAGGTTTCTGATGGTGGTTGATATCCCAGCCATTGTACTCAGGCTTCTTCTCTGCTTGGATGAAATCAGGCTCTAGGGGTGAACACCTCAAGTTTGCATGGCGGTTCCCAGCAGGACAGGTTTCCTGCACCGTCTCCTGATGCTGAAACAACAGATCTTGGCCTATCCTCTGAGAAGGCAGACAGCTGTCAAAGTCTGCTTGGGCCTTCTTGTCAAAAGCATTCAAGTACTCCTCCCCTCTGTCCTCAAATAGATCTCGCTGGGTGCTCAGGCTCTCCTGCCTTCCAGGAGCAGCAGAGTAACTGTCGTTCCTGAGAAGGAAACAAACAGCAAACAAAAGTCAGCTAATGCAAAGCACAACATGTCTCCAAGGGCCTAGGCTGGGCACAAGAAGTGGAAACAAATAAATCAGTTGGTGTTTGCTCTAAATCACGAGGCAATAAGCCTATAAATACCTGAATGCTGGGCAGATGTGCTATGGCCCCAGGCTGTACTGCCTGGTTTGTCTAATCAATGAATGATGAAAAAAGCAGTTCGTAGCATGGGCAAACTTAAGAAATAAAGGGAGATTCAGCCTCCAACATATGTGGAGATCCAAAACCAAGGAATTGGTTACAGAAAGTCCCAAAGAATTTGGAGACAAACCAGAAAATACCAGAATTTTTAACTCAGTTTTCTGTAATTACCCACATGGGTGAGAAGAACCTTTTTCCTACTGAACAGACTCCCAAGATGGTTAGCCTAGACTGACATTAGATAAAAAAACTCTGAACAGCTCAGTTTAAAGCACCTCCACAACATAACACACTTAAAGAGTGTAAGGATGCTACCAGAGCAGTACCTTGGCCTATTCAGAAATATCTTTTGGGTCCACTCTACACTTCCCTTTCAGTAGGATGACTTATGGCATCACCTCCCATCACAGCATGCATAAGGAGAAGGGTGCTCTGCACTCACCTGGCATGCAGCCCCTCCATGGTGATGCTGTCAGCCTGTTTTTGATGTGACAGGGAGTACCCTTTACTCTGCAGGGATGTGTAGCTCTCCTGGCCCCACACTGGCACAGGGTCCAAGGGAGCAGTTTTCCTTTCTGCTGTCCCTGCCTGGCAGTTCTGATCTTCAGACCGACAGCTGCTCCCACCGATGGAGTCCTGCTGAATCATGGGCTTCATAATTCCTGTCAAGACAGAATTCACACCATTAACACTAGGATCTCAAAGCCAAGAAGAATTAACAATCCACAGCTAGCCTGACTCCCCTTCCTTCCAGGGCAGTAGGTGACTGCAGCCATGGAAACCTTTCTGACAGAGGGGAGATTGTGCTTGGGAAATACACAGCTGGGAAATACACCTGGAGTGATACAGAAGGTGACTTAGCTTTCAGAACACCACACACCATCATTGGCTTGGAAGCAAGCAGGTGTATGGACACAAACCACAAACTCAAGGAAATGGCTTACACATCTTGATGTTTACAGTCACACCTCTGAAGATCAGTAACAACACAGGAAGGTGCTAGAAGCACACAGCTCAGGAACTACAGGATCCCAGTTCTCAAAAAGGGTCTATTAAGATTTCACATGTTTACAGTAACTCCGTATCTGATCCCTCTCTAAAGGGCAAGATCTGCTTTTACACCTCCAAGGCTCCATAGCTGTTAGGGAAGATCTCCCACTGCAGTGCAGAGGATTGATAGGCAGGTGTCCTCCCTCCCAAACTCCTCCATCCCCTTAACCAGCTCTCACTGCAATTGACTTTGTCATCCCTATAGAAGGTCAATCACAGCCAGCCAGAATTTGTAGTCTGGATGGAGGTAAGGTGGCTGAAGTACAGAAACCTTCCAGACATGGATCAACTCAACAGCATGATAAAGGATAACACTGAAAACACCTTACCTGAAGGGTGAAGGGCTGAAGGGTAGAAATCCACAGGGGTGCGACTCTGGGTCATGCGAGGGTCCATGTAAGAGGGCATCATCATCCAGCGAGGATCAAAGCCAAGCATCTGGGGGTGCGGCGGATAGAAGGTCCGTTGGGGGTGGGAATGAGATGGGGGAGGATAGATTTGCTGCTGCTGCCAGTGCTGCATCTTGTACAGCTGCTCCTGCAGGGAAGAGGATGGGCTGTTTGACATGAATGGTCACAGTGCCAGGAATTGCATTTAAAAACCAGCCAGGCAAAGGAAAACACATTCTGTGTATTAGAGTCTCAAAAACAGATCAGATGGAAGGGTAGAGAAGATAAAGGGCAACTCTACCAGATGGGAATGTGGCAATAGTTGTTATTTTCTGAATACCCAGAACAGCCAAAATATGTTGCAGCCAGAATATCACACCTCCATAGGCCAGGAAACGTGGCCAAACGCAAAGGATCAGCTTCAAGCCCCAGGTTCGCACTTTCTTAATGCTTCTATGAGATACAGGACAGGTTCCTGTCAAATGATTTCCTAATTAGAACCAAATATTTCAGAACACACTACTCTTCAGAGACAATGCAACTGTAAGTTATTTAGTGTGCATGTATATTAGCGATACTCATGTTAGCCAAACAGATTAGATAAGAACAACCTAAAGTCAATTAAGAGAGCTATGAATAACTTATAGTATTTCCCCTGCATCCTCCAGAGACAAGCTGGCACTTTAAGGTTGTTTCCCATCTCCTGCATGGCCGACAACTGTCATGATCATAATCTGATTTGACATTTAACTGCTGCTAAAGGTCCAACAATCACCTATATTTGAAGGGAGTTTTGCTTACCAAAGTTTTCGAAAGGTAAAGGGTTCCCATTAACATGAAATACATCTATTTACCTGTCAAACTTTCCACCATCAATTCTTACTGAGCTTACAGCAGTGTAAGACACTGTAACTGTTCATCAAGACAATCCCCTACTGCAGAGCCAGAGAGACATCCTTAAATCTCAACCCGACACATCATTACAGCAGGAAACTCAGATAAATGCAAAGATTATATCTGAGTTACCTAGTGCTCTAGTACCTTAGAGAAAATATTTCATTAATGATACCAACACTAGTATTTATTTTGTTCTTATCATGGAACCATTGCTACCAAAGCAGCAACAGAAACCAGCCAAACTACAAACTGCCTCATACATACTAATGCCACAGAGGGTAAGAGAAAATAAAAATGAAAATTTCATGTTCTTCCAGTAGCAATGACCTGTGGAATTACCAGCACGGCAGCAGAGACATCCAATTCTTTTTAGTTTAAAAGCATCTCTTTTCAAGAGTAACATCGGCAGCATTTGCTGCTGTGCATTTGAATCATGAAAATGTCAACTGCCGAGTAACAAGCACAGGGGAACATCCATAAAAGAGCAATTACTGAGCTCCCAAGCAAAAGCCAAATGTGAGCTCCTCATTATGGCTTGCAGCAGCATTGATTATATCACATTTCAAGTGGTTATTCTATGAAGACTGGCAATTAACTCTGCACTATCTCAAGCCTGAATATTCTGTCCCTTAGTCTGACTAAGGAGGCTCACTGCCTCTGGAAAAAGAGCTGAAGAGTACGTGTGGCTCATACAGCACTGTAAGACCAGGCAAGATGCAAGATACAGGGCAGTTCAGGCTAATCTCTCAGAGCCCCAGAAGGGAGTTTTCAATGAAATAAAAAAGAAACAGCCAAGACCAAACATATTTATGGTGCAACAAAAACAAAGACCTGAAAGAGCCTCACAGATAAAACTTGGGTAGGTGGAAAATGAGAGCAGATGTAAAGGATCAGCTCTCTGCCAAGGCAGGAGGTAGAATGGGAATGTGCCGCTTCACTGTGTTCACATTCTGTCCCCAAGCAGCCCAAACTCCTGCCAACCTGAGCACAGTTTCCCAGACAAGCAAATGGCTCCTCATACCTAACAGGGTTAGGGCACAGCAAGTGCAAAGTGGAATGGAAGCAGCTCATCCCCAAAGGTCTTCCTTTCCCTGGACCTGTATGTTCAGCTCCTCCCCACTGCAGCAGCCTGCCCATGCCTCTCCCCAGCCACAGAAAGCCCTAACCACAACAGCTCCAGCATCAAAGGGTGCACGAAGAATTCACATAACTCATGTAGAGTCTTTTTACCCATCAGACAGGACGCACCTGTAATCTAAAGTACCGAAGAAGACCCCCATTTATCACCTCTCAGCCCAAAGACAGTTGGTTAATTGGGCCTGATGGTGTTGAGAATCAAACAAATGCAACGGTTTGGTGGGAGTCCAAAGGAAGAGGGGTGGTAGTGTCACATCTATTACCTGCTGCTGTTGCTGCTGCTGCTGCCTCTGGAACCGTGGAGGAAGAGACTTCTGGTATTTGCTGAACTCCTGTGCTGGAGAGGAAGCTTCTCTGAGCTCCTCCTCACTGCTGCTTTGGGCTGCTGCTGCTGGGGCAGGAGTCTCCTCTTCCACATAGCCAACAGAAGCCTCCTGCGTGTGAAACTCAGGGGTTGCTGCAGAGAACAAAATAAACCTTGAAGATCCCTGCTCACGCCAGGGCTTGCCAGTGCACCACCACATCACAGCATACACGGGTGAGGGCATGTCCTAACTGCGTTACTTGGTTGAACTTTATTACAACCATATATAGCACATTACACACAATCTCTCTGACTTGCTTTGACAGCTCTAGAAGGCTTTGTCCATCTTGTTTTAGTGATAAATAGGATTTATCAGCCTTCTGCTTAAGCACTGGGGGAAGTAAACCAAGTCTCTTCCCCCTCTTGTTCCTTAAACCTGCAAGCACTTACTGATAAAAGATTTTCTGACCTGGGGCCCAGCAGCACTTTCTCAGTAGCATCATTCAATCAGAAGAAGATCAAGAGGCCCATTCCAACGAGGTCTCTGCTAGCAGAGCTGACTGAGCATACAAAGAGGCAACCAAAGAAGCCTGCACTTGTTTTAACTGGACGTTTTAAATAAACCTTCATCACCAATTCAAAATACTCTGACGAGTACATGAAGCAGCTGATCTCAAGTGCAGATACGGTACCCTCCAAGCACCCTCTCCCAGGACCTCCCTGACACTTCAGTGAGAGACTGGCACAACACAAAAAGGCAGTTCTCACGGGGTGAGGCAAGCAGTGATTCTGTACCTCTACGGAAAGCAGGACCATTCTCTTGCACAGCATTTTTCTCCGTGCTTGCTGGTCTCATGTCTTCATTCTCTGGGTGTTTCTGGGTCTCTCCACTCTTCTGAGCCAGTTTGCACTTCTGATCAAGTTGCTTCAGCTTTGCAGCACAGGCTGCCAGACGCTCTTCCCTGGCTCGCCGCTCCTCCTCCTCCCGCCGCCTCCTGGCTCTCTCAACAGCCTCAGAGATCTCAGAGTGCACAAACTTTTGTCTCAGTGGCACCTTTTCTTCTTTATTATCCTCGAGGGACTGCTGTCTGAGAACATTTCCCACTGTGGGTTTCTGCCAAAGGAAAAACATTCCTCAATAAGTACGAACCAAACTTCTGTACCTTCAAGCTTTGCATCCCACTGAGGAACTCTCCTCCTGACTCCCTAGCCTCCTATTCTCATGCATGCAAATCCCCCTTTTGGTGGGGAGAGTTACTTCTACCTGATTTAATAGCTCCACATTGTCCCTGCCTGACAACCTCACTGCCCTGGATCAGCTTCAATTTCTTTTCTCTAGCAGGAGTGCTGTGCAGATGCATTTCTCTCCAGAAAACAAAAGAACTGAGGAATTCCTCAGCATCCTATTTTCAACAGAACATCAAACTGGCCTCTTAGGGCAGTAATGCATCACATTCAGTGGCACAAATCCACCCACAGGAGTTCAAGCTACCTGGTATTCAGATGAAGAGCTCCAGCCATTCAGCTTCCTCAGAGGCTGCTGTGTATCCTGCCCTTTCCGGACTGACCGGGACAAGCCAACCGAGTCGTTCCAACTCTTTCCTTCCTCCAAGGTGTGTTTGACATCTGCACTGTCTGCAGAGCTCAGGGACAACTGTCGCTGCCTTCTGGGATCCCAGCTGTTCCTGTAATATAAACAACTTTGCTATTACACTTGTTACTTGCCTCAAAAAGCACTTCCACTCTTATGAAGTGGCAAAGACATCTGACTGTGGCAGAAAGGAAAGATCAAAAAGCCACCAGAACAAGCAAGGATCAAGCCTCACATTTACAACAAGATTTAAGAAGATCCTAATATTGTTTACTTTTACTGAAACAACCACAGGTTCAAATACAGCCTCTTCTTACCACTTCTGTCGTCCATCTTTAGCAAGAGGTTCTTCCTCTTCCTCATCTTCACTAAACTTCAGTTTCTCGGAGTAATCCACTTCTTCATGAATGCCTACAAAAACAGGATTGGAGAAAGGATGTGTGAGAGAAAAGAAACAGGTCCTTTGTCCTGAAAAAGCTTATGCCCCCCTCTGGCACAAGCCTGACATAAGCTACTTGGAAAGCCAACTGTTCACCACTGGAAATGATGCAAGTAGTATGGACCCACACTGCTTAACAGCTGGCTGCTCCCAGAAGAGGAGCAGCAAACAGTCTGGGAATGGGGGCTGAAAACGAGACAGCCATCAAGTGAGGCTGTGAGTAAGTGGATACTTAACACCCAGACTGAAAAGGTAGGACTAACTACTCTTCCATGTAGCCATACTGCTATCCTCCTCTTTGGTGTTTTCAGTTTTTAGGAGTCTTCAGATCCAGTTCCTTGAGCACAGTGTGATGGAAAGGATCGGAAGGATCCATTGTGTCATCATTTACACCAATAGCAATTTCACAACTACACACACCACTCTTTGCTTGCCCTCCTTCTGTGGCAGTGAAACAGAGGCACCAGAATATATATCCTGGCTATTTCACACTTCATCAGGGAAGAGCAACTACACCTCCTAAGTTGTTGCCTGAAGCTGGAGAATGGAAGCACTTTACCTGCCCATCCATCATCTGCATCATTGTCTAGTTCATCCAGCCCCTTTAGGTTCTCTGCATTGATAATGGTGGGCCGCGGTGCTCTTTCCATTTGCTGCCGAACCGGACGTGTTGGGCGGGACAGGCTGGGCCTGTTCTCTTTTCTACAGGGAAATGCAAGAACATGATTAGAAACAGGAAACAGTAAAGAAAAGAATGTAGAGTCAAGTTTGTAGCAGTCAATCAGTCCTTTTCTACCACACACTTACATACAACCTCCAACCTTCTCTCCCCGTCCAAAGTCTTTTTCCCCCCCTTGTCTACCTGGTACCCACCTTCTAGGGCTGACAGATAAGAGCTGCCACCCTTCCAGTCCAGAATCATACACAACTACTCTTGTCCACTGCTCTTCAGACACATAGTGATTACAGTACTGCAACATTTCAGGTGCTACAGCAGATGAAGCAAAACACTGCTTCTTTAGGTAAAAAAATCAGGCTTCATCTGTGGCTGTCTGCTGTTTCACCTACACAGTTGAATACTTGGCCCAAACGCTTGCACAGTTTAAGGTTCAAGTCACCACCCTGAACTTGCCCCTCAACTGGGATGGTCACGGGAGCCTTACCCATCCTGGTCATTCATCTGGTACTGTCTGAAAGGTACCCGGGGCTCAAGCCGAAGCTGAGGAACAGGAAAAGACCCTCGGTCCAGCGACGCAGGGGTTTCAGATGGCTGTTGCGGACACATCTGGAGCAAGGCAAAGCAGATTAGCCTGGTTTTCCTCCTTGCCACACGAAGGCTTTCCCAGATTAGGTTACAATCTGAGCATGGTAGCTGCATCCACACAAAGCGAAACCAAACATTTCACATCTGGCTGCCTAACATGCCACATGCTAATGGTTACCCTCACCAGCCCTGGAGGGAAAACAGCAACTTTTCCTTGGGATGAGCAACGCTGTGTTACACTACTCCAGCTTGAAAGCACAAGTATGCAACAGGGGAAAGCTAAAAATAGATCAAGAGGGATCCCTGAGCAAGCCAGTGAACCAACTGAACATCGCAGACAACTTCCTCAACCCACACACACATTTCAATATGGACATTACAGCTGGAGGGAAAGAACAACTTACAAAAGCAGGTAGCATGTCATGGTATGTAGGTGGCTGGTAGACATTCCCCATGAACTGCGAAGCCCCTTTGCGGACAGGCTGAGCTGGGCGGAGAGACGGCTCCTTCGGATCGCTGGCACTCACTGAGGAGGGGGCTCCGTCTCCAGTGCTGGGGGTCTTGCTGCCCAGCTCAGCAGGGGAGGCGGTCAGAGACGTGGCAGAGGTTATGTTCCTCCCACCGCCCTCCCTCCAGCTAGTGACATCTGGAAGGGAGGCGGTAATTACGTTAGCATTTGTAAATGCAGAGAGTTACTCCAGCAGAAAGTCTTGAGCTCAAATACTCTGGGTCAAGCCCTAATGCAGAAGAAGACCAGGGACCGAGGAAAATCTCTCACTGTGTTTATTTTCCAAAGTGTATCAGCATCAGCTGTTACTAAGTAATTGCTGCACCAGTGGTGTCCTTAGTTGTCAGTAAGACTGAATTCCAACCAACTCTGCTCCTCATTTCCCCATCTCTAACCCTGCAGAAGGCCAATGAGATCATGCACAAACACTCCAAGAGAAGCCACGTTACACCACCCACCCATTTCACTTGTGACTCCTCTAGCCCAGGGGGAAAGGGTCTGCTTTGTAACAACACTCAGCAACTTTTGTTAACCAATGCAGTAGATGATACTCCCTACCCCACTGCCTGGATCACAGAACTCAGGCAGAGAACATCAGCACTGCAAGTGAATCTGGGGTCATTTGCTAAGGAGCTGGACACATGTGAGCTCAGAAAAAGATAAAGGTGAACATCTAGTATTATCCGGACCTGGCATCCCACTGCCCAAAACAGTCTATGGGGTTATGAGCTGGGATAAAGCAGAAAGACACAAGCATTGACTTACTCTGGGGGCGGAGGCTTGGTCCTGGCCCATACGACGGATCTAAGGCGCCCTTTTCTTTGCCAACCTTGTCCTGCTCGCCAGCTGCTTTCAGCGTCGGAAATTCCTCGGGAGAGAAGGATAACAGTCGGCTTGAGGCCCTTGAACCTGTCAGACAAGTAAGTGTGGGACTCAGAGCAGATCCTTCCACTTTTTCAATTCCCTTATGAGATCAGCCTAGAAACTTGTTTCCAGAGAATTTGAATCTCCATCATATTTAAACCCCAATTACTATCATACCAGCCCCTCAGCTCACATCCAAAACACTCTGAGACACTGTCACCAACACAACAACACATGTCTTCACCCAGTACTCCCACGCTCTTTCACTTGGGATCTTCATTTAAATTCGCACATTCAGCAAAGTCAGAGTGAACTTTCTCGGTGTCCAATTGTTCTTTTAAAGCACAAAATTCAGACTGAGGCAGAGACGTAAATTCTGCAAGATCCCTTATAGCTGATGCCTCTTACCAAGTATTTGACATTTCAGACTCTTTCTGCTCTGATCTCCATTTAAGGGGAAGGCTATTGTTAAGATTTCTGGCGACATACTCAGTGAAAGACCACAGATAAGGCCTGAGAGCTATGTGCTCTATCCCACTCTTCCCTACTGCAGCACTTTCAAGATGCAGATCACTGGCCAGATCAGACCAGCTTCATTTCTAGTCACTGGCAAAGTGTCTCGCTGAGTCATCAGCCACCCAGAATGACAGCTTTCTGTCAATGCTAAAGATCTGCCAGTGCCTGGAAAACAAACCACAGCAATTCTCTTAAAGCTGTTGGCAAGGTAACGCTGAATAAAAGGGAACTGTCAGCATTACCGCACTACTAAGGATTTAAAAGACTCTTTTTCTGAGAACTGTTGGTGTTATTTGGCTAATTCTCTTTCTAAAAAAGGCATTTCAGAATTGCCAGGTTGGAAGTACCAGCAATGAGTACTGAAGACCTGACACAAGAGTCTCATTTCTTTATCCCTCCTTGCCCTAAAAAGTCCAGGCCTCTTGAAGTCATTTCACTTTCTGGAACTTGCCCTGTGCACAAGAGCTCCCACCTCAGTACTTCCAGGGAATACACTGGAACTGCCACATGCAACATCTTCAAATATTTCAGAGAGATGAGCATACACAAAGATGACATTTCTCAAACACACCACAAAACATCTGAGATGGGCCAGGAGTTCTGATTTCTACTGCATTATTCTAGAGAACTAGAACAGCAATGAGAGTATGACACCGTGTCTTTCAGCAAAGGCTTCCACCTGCAAGTAAGGCTGCACAATGTAACAACTGTTAACGCACAGGCATTAACAATTTGCAACTCTAACCCATGGTAGCATCACATTGATAAAACTTTGGTGCATCTTTCTTTTTCTCCAAATGCCCCCTATCCAGAAGACACTGGCATGGAGCAGTTCATGATTAATCTACAAGACCACACATACCCTCCAAGAAAGATTTTACAGCAGTAATACGTAAAAGGGAGCAAAAAGCAAAGGACTTTCCTCTTTGTCAGTAATACTAGAAACTGCTGTATTAGCTTAGAAGGAAAAGCAATTCTTCAATGCCACTGGAGACGAGGTGTGAGGAGATGGGATGGCCTAGAGAAGTCCTTTCAGTCAGATTTCTGATGCTTCTGTGATTCAATTACCTTCTAATTAAGCTGCTCTTAGCCACATATGCAACTCTTTCCTTGGGTTGAGAACTCTATATTGATACGTGTGACCTAGAATGAGTTTTCAAAAAATCTTTTAAGAACATTGTTACATGATGGGATTTCAAAACAACCGTAGGAGGTACAGACACAGCAAGTGTCTCAGAAGTACCAATTATCCAAACAAGACACAGCCTTTGCACTGGCCACCAACCTCAGGCAAGCGCAGGTCGCTGCTTTAACATTTAGCCTTTCAGAAACACCTTCTCATTAAGGGACTTGCCTCTTAATTATCCCTCATTAAGGAGAGGCTTGGCCCCTTCATTTCTGCAATCTGCAGCTCTCAATTCTCTCAAATCTCTGCAGTTTCATTCAATAACTGAATGGTGCCAGGTCTGTTCACATTAAACCAGTGGAACCGAGTTGTTATTCTCACTACAGTTTTAATGGTAGTACTTAGTGCAGCTGGAAATCACCTCCTGTGTGGAAATGGATGCATGTGAAGACAAGTAAACTCCCAATTTCTGCTAACACTGCTTTAGGATCCTGAGTCAAGCAGAACCCATTAGCAGCACAGTTACCCAGGGAGATTTAACAGAAAGGTCTCAGCCAAGGCATAGGCAAGTACATCCTACAACAGCTCCAATGCCACCTCCACCCACTGACACTGGACCAGGGATGCTGTGAGCAGCCTCCCTGAGCATTATCATTATAGCCTCACCTTTGACCACCTAATTAGGTGAAGCTCCCTGTGCTACTAGCCACGGAGATGCCTGTATTTCCAGTCTACAATGTCTTTCCTTTTTCTTCTAAACCAATCCCTTCACTCTTCCACTCTGCTTTCTGCACCTTGAAGTACATGCTGGTCTGGGCTGATGGAAGATGCTCAAGAAGGGGCAAGTGTTTCCCTTTTCCTCCAAAACCTTCACCTCCCAGAACTCCCTGCTGCTTCCCAAGTGCATGAATAATGCTGGTTCAAGGTGGTGAATAAACACACCCTGTTCAAGCTATGTCTTGCAGTGGCAGACCTGAACAGATGCAGCTGCATCACTCCAGCCAACACACCACACAGATTGAAAACAAGACTCATAAGGCCTCAGTGCACTGTAATCAAGACAGCTGTGTCACCATTCCACACTGGTCAAGGCAGAGAAGGGAGAAAGAAATGGGGTCGACTCCATCTCATGCCTATCTGGGAGATGCAGGGAACACCCAGCTCAATTTCTGTTTATCATACTCACCACCTTCTTGTCCTGCTGGCTTTCCATTCAGCTGTGCCCATGACTTTGGTCCACCTGGCACTGAATTTGTACTCTGAAAACAAAACACAAACAAACCCCAACATCCACAGATCAGTGAAGTCTCATGACTGTTTCTCATTTCCTCCCATCTTCATCAACTATTTCCTCAAACCATTCTTCTTGATTTCTTCCCTCTAATCAAGCTTTCCCTTTGCTCTGTTGCATTTTTCCATATGGCTCCTCTTAATATGCTAGATCAGTTCCATGCTACACCTCAGCTTGAAGGCTACTCTACCTCCTCATGCATTAACCACTCTCCTCCTCTTCAAAACATAACTCCTTTCCTGATTTACCCAAACCTTGAGGTCTGGGAACTCTTTTAGTCTAAAGTGTGAAATCTGCAGCACAGAGGGGCCAAGTCCCTGAACTCTTTGCGGAAGCTTTTTTCCTTGCCTGTAGCCTTTTCAGGTCCTGACACTGGCTACTTCTTTCACATGACCAGATCTCTTCTTATCAAGTCTCATCAGGCTGGGAACAAGAGCTGTATCTGTTGTCACCAAGCAACATTTGAATTAGACCCAAAGTAAAATAGCTTAGAAGTGCTAACCAGCCATCCCACATTCCAGCCATTCTTTCAAGATTGAAGCTAGACTTCCTGCACACACTTGAAAAGGTACAAAAGTAACTTGCACAGAATTATACTTTTAACTGCAGCAGAGCATTCCTGGGGCACAATGACTCGGAGTCGAGAGAGTCAATTCTACAAGAATTGATTATACAGGAGCTGTTGTGTAAATTGCAGCCTGATGATTCTTACACAGACAATAAGCCAACCCTCAAGCTGTGTGGGGACAGGGGAAGCAGAGTGGCAGTCACAGTGCCTGCACCCACCTCCTGACTGATTGACTGTGTCGGCTTCTGTAAATTGGAGACAGATTTCTGCAAACCCTGCTGCGGCAGCGACTCCTGCAGCTGTGCAGCCGTCACACTGGAACTGCAGAGAGACAGCAGAGGGGAGATCAAAGGGGAAGGAAGGCAAGAAGACAGAGAGACAACTCTGGCAATATGGCAGTTGCTAAAAGATCAAGGTGACGTTGGCTGTACACTGGCACAAAGAGAGAACCGATTACTTTAAGGTCCGATACACAACACAGCAGTGCACAACTGCTGCTGCTTGCCTGACAAAACATAGCTCTACCCACCTCTTTTGGTCTGGCTGATCCTGCTTGTTTGCCCATCCTGTACCGTCCTTGGGTACTATAACGATGTTGGGGTCGTTTCCTTTGTTCTCAGACTTCAAGCTAGGCAGGTTTGCAGGAGGTGGCATGCGCCGGGCAGCAGCAACTTTCCCGAGACTCTGTAAGCCATGTCTAGGAATAACTAGTGAGAAAGGAGCAACGGCAGGTCAGAGAGGGCTATATCCTGCTCGGTAAGTAACATTAATTAGGACACTGTGGCTGGGTGCTGTCCCAACAGAATTGTATGGCAAACAGCACGCTGCTGCCACGTGAACATACAGGTCATCTCCCACAGGACCATGGCGAAGCAGCGTCTGCCATAGCAGCTGGGTAGCAGGCAGCCTCTGAACAGTCACGAGGGAGAGAGAAGCAATTCTCCCAAACAGAAAATGCCCACAGAGTCTTACAGCTGCCTGAGAAAATATTCCTTTTCCACTTGACCAAGAAGCAGCAGCAGTTTCCTTTCAGAGCTTGGGGTAACACCTACCCAAGTCCACCTCTTGGCAGACAGACTTTGGTAATCCAACCCAGGAGTCCTGAGGTCTCCATTTTCTAACTCTAGCCACCAGATCACTTTTATTAAGATGGCATTTCGTGTTCTTTGGTTTTCTACTCCCACACCAAATCCAGAGCCATTCCAGGCCGTGTTTATAGGTTCTGACCTGACCATCTACTTTTGGTCACATCTCCACTACAAAACTAACTCATGCTCTTCCCCAAAGCCCTTCAGTCCTCCACTCTTGCCTCACGAAAGGTCTGACCAACTTAAGGCCCTTCAGTCAGCTTAGCTGCCTTGTCTTGGTAAGGCTCTGAATCAAGTTTGCAACCTGATCACTTTGCAGCAAGGACACAGGCTAAACAAAAGGACGTGCAGACCCCCAACTCTTTTGCTGTAACTCCTCCTCCATACCTCTACAATAAGAGGAGCAGAAAGAACTACAGACAATTTTCCTTGAAGCCCTAATGAAACACAGGCTCAAACACCAGCACAAACAGCTCTGCAGCTCAGCTGCTTCCCACTGGGCATCCTACCCACAAGGCCTGAATTAGCTCTGCAACAACCCTCTTGGAAGCCACCAAAAGGAGCTTTCTGAAGGCATTTCTTACCTGTAGTTCTGATAGCTTCTATTGACTTTCCTTTATACTTATCAAACAGGCTGAGAGTCGAGTACTTGCTTTTCCCATCCTTTCCCTTGGTTATTTGCCCCAAACGATCGGACATTGCGATGAAATGTCATCTAGTAAGGAAATTGCTCTGCGCCGCTCCCGATCTGCCTTTTAATGAAAGAGAACCAAGGAAACACCAAACGGGTTATTTAGCTTCAGACAAGTAAAAAGTAAAACACACTAGCTGTTAGAACTGCAGATATCCCGTGAGCAGATACACTAAGGTACAAGGTTTTAACCCTCTTTAGTCACAAGAAACTTGTGGGATTTAAGATTCCTACACTGAAAAGAACTGCAGGAACACACTTCTCACAGCATCTCTTCTTTTTCCTGCCACTCCAGTGCTGAAAGAGGTCAGCTTCCTGAAGTATGCGAATACAAGAGAGGGTGGTCAACATAGTCCTTGCTTTAAAAGAACTCTAACAATAAGCAGCTACACACAATGATTCCTAAACACAAGTGACAGGAAAGCACTGGATCTTACACCATACTGGAATTTATCATTGGGTTTCCCAGTAAAGCACTGGTAGCCAGGTCTGTAAAGTTCAGGATTACGGTTCCACACTGGCCACAGTTAATGACTCATAGCAGCAATTAATGCTTTGAAAGCACCACCTGAAGGCAGCAGAATTATTTCTTCAAATTCCCTTTTCCCATCTGCTGGCCATGAGACAGAGTGAAGGAGTCCAAAAGCCCTGCTCAAATTAAACAGATTCAGACTCTCGAACCTGTGGGTTCAGCAGATCTACAATGAATCCTGAAAACACTTGATAAAAAGAGATTACATCTCTGTTGCTGGCACCTTCAACACCTTTTTTAGCTATAAACACACTTTTCACAATGGATGTGGTTTGTTAATTTTTCATTCTGATCTTTCTGCTGGCACAACATGCTGTGATTAACACTCTTCACGCTGTCAGCATCTTTACTTTCAACTTTTGGCTCTTAGACTGAGACAAAGCTGAAACACACGAAACACACACCCCCTAGGTCAGCTTTTATGTCAGAAAATAAGCTTTACTTACTCTCAATGGATCTTTCTCTAATTTTTCTCAAGCACGATTCTCCATTCTCATTTTTCTCAAATCTAGAGGCTCAATCTAACCTTTTCACACATCATTTCGACTTCCAGATTTCTTGTTGCAAAGCCTCCATTTCAAGCCTAGAACTGCTGGCAGTTTTATTATGTTAGATCAGAGACCATCTGCTGCATCCCATCTTCAAGTTGCAACTTCTGCTAGAGTAACACAATTATATATGTATGTATCAATATATATGACCTTCCCACTCTTCACCCTTTCTAGAACTCATCCAGCTGAAAGCATGTTTTAAATGCAGTCAGAATCACTCTCTGAAAGAAAGTGTACCTGACCAGAGGCTGCAAGTTCCACCAGCAATGCCTTCTCAAAAGTGATTTCCAGGTAAGACGATTAGTCCATCACACATTATGTACAAAATAAAGCACAGACCACAAACATGTTGACTACAGACAGTTTTGAGAACTTGCTGCTATCCGGAAATAGGTGAATAAAGCTTACCTAAAGACTCTTGCCAGGGGGCAGGTTTCTGACCAATAATCCTGGCACCATGTAGTGTTCATTCTTGCACTGCAGGATTTATATCAGGCCTGGCAGGAGCAAGAAGCCATGAATTCTGTGTGCTACAGCAAGCAGCATGGCCAAGCATAAGGGAAGAAAAGCATTTTCTGTCACTCAATATCAGCATCAACAAGATGCTTGGGGAAAAACACCGGGCTCCACAAGAAGCCTCTCACAGCCACCTTTGTTGGACCTCCACACAGGGCTGCAGCACAAAGGCTTGCAGAGGCAACAGGGCTGGCCAGCGTTCCTGAGGCACCTTTTCCCGCAGAGTAACAAACAGATCTTGGCTCCAATCTGTTTCACTCTTTGCTCAGATGGTCACTTGTGTGCCAAAGAAAACAACAGCTCCTCCCACACTTGCCCATTTCCACTGTATGTTATTAGTAGGACAGACATAAAAGAGAAAGGGAGAAAAACCCAGTGATTAGCATGGACTTGGCAGGAAAGCTGAAGCTGGGCTGAGAACAATGACCTGTTTGAGCTGGCAGAGTTGTGGGGAGCCCCGGATCAGAGCGAGCAGCAGTGGGTGCTGCATGCCAGCCTGCAGCTGCGCTGGCAGGAGCACAGCCGCCAGCTCCTACAGGTTCACAGAGGGAGCCTCGCTCAGGGCCCATCCACACCACAGCAGTCCTGTACCTGCCTTGCACAATCCTAAGCAACAAAATTCACTGTGAGGTTTACAAAACCCAAACCAAAGTAAGTCAACACTGGGAAAAGTGAAAGGAGCTACCACATCAGGTTCAGGACTTAAGGTAATAGAAAATCCCCAAGTTCTGGAAAGTCAGCATGCGAATAGTATGGAGCAGAATGCTGCCAAAGAGAAACCCTGACAACCACTTATGTAACTGGGTCTCAGCTGCCTCTTGATTACATCTCGTACCATTAAAAGGATGCAGGAGGAATAAACAAACACTTCAGAAAAGAGGGGCTGAGGACACTTAGGGATAAAGCCCCCTGTCAAGCTTTCTGGGACAGCCACAACTGCTGTCTGGATAAGTGAAATTTACTTTGAACTTCTCCAGTGCTTTGAAACTGAAAAGGTGAAAACAGCTTTCTGTGTTATGTGTGTGCTCCAAAGGGGAAAATGAGTCCATGGAGAGGTAAGGCAATTTCCATGGGGTCACTGTGCAAAGAGGCTGCACTGATGCTGAGCCCGGTTGGAGCTGCTGCAAGGGACCTTGCTGCTGCCTGTCCCTCCTGACAGCATATCTGAGCTATCCACAGGCATTACTGGCCACAGCTGTCACAACACTGGGCTGTTTTCCCATCACACAATCAAGGAGGGAATGCTGGCAGGGATCATCAAGGCCTTCCAGAGTGAAGCCATTTCTGATAACATCAAGTTCATTAAGAACTGACCTGCCAGCCAGCACGCTTCTTATTAGGAGAGCTAGAACCAGAAGGCGCATGCCAATGCTGACAACTGACAGCCTTGGCAAGGCTTCTGAACGGTGCTCAGGGTCACTGTGTCCGAGAGCTGACCCTGAAGAAAGCATTATCCCCTGTTATAGAGAAATCAGAAAAATCCAACACCAGCATTCCTGCAAGGTTTCTCTCTGGGTTTATTGAGCTCCCTGGGGGAAAGCTCGCTATCAGTTCTAGCATGGAGTTTAGCTGTTCCCATTGTCAGGGCCAGCAATGCCTCGTGTTAACATCTAGGGACAGCACCAGAGTGCAAAATACAGTGTTTCAGAGGAATCAGAAAATACTGCAGTGTGACCAGATACATTAGAGACTCCAAATAACTGCACTAGAGTCAATTCCTGGGCAGAAAGCTGTTACCCACAGGTCTTTATGTCCACATGATGTTGCCCTGGACTTGATGTTTGGGTACTGACCCTGTCCAACTGCTTTTTAAAGGGGTATGTTCTAATCCAGAGATCAACCATGACATTTTAAGTGCCAGAGCATGCAAGCCTTGGAGCTGCAGCAAGGGATCTACCGAGCATGGGGAGCCCATCCTGCAAAAAAGAACCATGTGAAAACCTTGAAGTACTGGCTCTGGTAAGAACTGGAAACCCCCAAGCTGAAAATACAGCCAAAGGGAGAGACTCCTGACAAACAGGATTGTCTGCAAAGTCCTTTGTAAATCTATGTATGAAGTAGGCTGGGCTGCTGTTTTATTCACAAGACTTCGATGAAGCTTGAATACCTGGATGGTAGCCAGCCTTAATTATACAGGGCAAACAGATGTATGAAAGGTAACACACACACACTAGAAGGAATTGCTTCAACTACTCACACACCACTGGGCTCTACACTGAGCACAATCACCCAGGGAAAGGACCTGAGACAACTGCAGACCTTCACTCCTTCACGCACAGCAGCAGTCACAAACACAAACCAACATAATAGGATGGAGATTCACAGTGAAAAGGCTTTTCTCCAGAAGATCTGACCTGAAATTTTATATCAATTGTTCAGAAAAGGTTGCAGAAGCTGAACTGTACTTTCAGAGAAGTGTTTGGAGTTGATGTTAAACTGAAATCTTTTGTGCTCTCTCATGCTACTGGTGACGTGAAGCCTTTTAAAAAGCACAATATAGTTTTACAGAAGATTATGGATGTTGTCTCTTCTTTAAAAATACACATGGTCAATTTTGCTGGTGCTTTTCATAGCTAAACATTTACCTGTCAGGGGGGAGATAACCACTACTTCTTTCGGACCATGTCCCACCCAGAATCACCTATTCGTGAAACAGTCACCTGCCTCAGTGATGAAGGACACCACTGGTTGCCGTTGGAAGAGCTTTGGTGAAACAGCATGACCAGCTGCCCTAGGGGCTTGGTGCCAGATGCACTTAGATCCTGTAGAAGCCCTGTTTGGGCCAGGCAGACATCACCAGTCTAGTGGGAAAGGGACCAGATAAGCATTCATTTCCTAGGAGAGACTGTTTAGTAAGGGAAGCAACAGGAGAACATCAGCATCTGAGTACAAAGTCAACAGGTTCAATGCAGAAGAGCCGTACAACAGGCAGAGGTTTAGGATATCAAGAGTCTATGCCACAAGAAACCACTTGCTGACACTCTATTGCATTGTTTCCAGAGAGAGATGCCAAGTTTTGTTGGTACACCTGAAAAAGGGCCTATCTAAATCCTGAATGTGGCACCAAATCCTGACAGACAGAAAGGAAGAAGCAAGTCAGCAGTCTGTAGTACTGAGAAAAGACAGACACCCCATAGCCAAGCTTCCGATTCACAAGGGGAGATCCCCCTTGCTTAGCTAAATAGCTGTACTTGGCAGTACCAGTTCTTCTAATTCTGCATCTTGCCTCCCTGTGAAAACAGGGAACAGGAGACCAGGATCACATCTCCAATGATATATTGCAGAAGTATGCTGTTAGCTGAGTAATACCCTTGGAGGCTGTCTGCCAAACCTGCCCACTGGCCAGCCCCATCATCAGGCCTCTCTAAGCCAAACCATCCTGGATTTGAGACATGCAGCAGGACCATGAAGCCTTCTGGACAGCACGTCTATCATTAACTCTGCAGCCTGGAGCTCTACGGG